TTGCCCAGTTTAAACTTTAGGACACACTATGATGCATTTCAGCTTTTTTTATCAGATTAGTTGATGCCACGCTCTCAGTTTTTAACCGATTTTCCGTTTTTAGGACCTTATAACTATAAATTCAACATTTGTTCGATCTAATATTTTGTCATATTTATGAAGAAATGGCTTATCTAAGAAATGTTCTATCTATAAAATTATATGTCTTTAAAATCTTCTGACCATGAAATGTCCATCTATGAAATGTCCATCTATGAAATGTCCATCTATGAAATGTCCATCCATCTATGAAATGTCCATCTATGAAATGTCCATCTATGAAATGTCCATCTATGAAATGTCCATCTATGAAATGTCCATCTATGAAATGTCCATCTATGAAATGTCCATCTATGAAATATCCATCTGTGAAATGTCCATCTATGAAATGTCCATATATGAAATGCCCTGCCTATGAATTGTCCTTTAACAGTGTTGAACAATTATATAAATACAATGAAGACGACTTTTTTAATCAAGTAATCAAAGAGATCCTCTTTTAACTGACAGCTTATTTTAACTTCTATATTTATTTGTGTGTATCCATGCTGTTTTACAGCTTTATGTAAATCAAAATTGAAGTCGAAAGTCGTCTTCATTGTATTGATATAATCAACTACCACTGTATTTAATGTCCCAACAACATTAAATTTCATTTATAATCCAAGAATTATTTTAAAACAGTGATTGAACCTAAAAAATCTTAATACGGTGATATATGCCTATTGACCATCATAATACAGACGACATTCTAGTGCAGCTTCGCTTTCTATCTAGCTTGTATGTAAACAAAAAGAAGCTTTTTATTTTACAGGCCAATATTCTTTGCTGTCAAAGAACATATTTTCTTATGACAAAGAATTATAATTGGACTACTACTTGTCACTTGAATTTGAACTGAGTATAAATACATTATCCATTTTATTATTTTTGGGAAATCAGCTAATGGCCCACGTGCAGAAGCTTTTCTGATATCCCAAATCGAAATAAAAAATGACTACATAGTTTGAAAAAAAAAAATTAAGCCGTCCTATCTAACTTTCTTTGAAATTTTATGCTTTATTATGCAGAACTAATCTATGTAGAACTGAACCAAGCAAAACTAAACCATATGTAGAACTGAACTAACAGAATTAACTATAACAACTAAACTATGTAGAACTGAACTAACAGAATTAAACTATGTACAACCAAACTATGCAGAACTGAACTAACAGAATTAAACTATGTACAACTAAACTATGTAGAACTGAACTAACAGAATTAAACTATGTACAACCAAACTATGTTGAACTGAACTAACAGAATTAAACTATGTAGAACTAAACTATGTAGAACTGAACTAAGCAAAACTAAACTATGTAGAACTGAACTAACAGAATTAAACTATTACAACTAAAATATGTAGAACTTAACCAAGCAAAACTAAACTGTGTAGAACTAAACTATGCAGAACTGAACAAAGCAGAACCTTATGTAGAACTGAACCACATAGAACTGAATTGTGCTGAACCAAGGAGAATGGAATAGAAGGGAGATACAACTGACGCGGCCTGCCATACTCCTTGGTTCAGTACTGCAGTTCAGTTCTACTTCGTTAAGTTCTACATAGTTTATTTCTACATAGTTTAAGTTCTACTTAGTTCAGTTCGGCACTAATAAGCAGCTGCAGAACTGAGCCAGACAGATTTTGAGGATTTGGAGGAAAGAACCCAGGGTCTGGAATAGATATCCTAGGGTATGGAGTAAAATCCCAGGATCTTGAGGGTCTCGAGTAAAATTTTAGGATCTGAAGTAAAATTCCAGGGTCTTGAGTAAAATCCCAGGGTCTGGAGTAATTCCCGGGGTCTGGAGTAAAATCCCAGGGTCTTAATTGTAAAATCCCAGGGTCTGGAGTAAAATCGCAGGGTCTGGAGTAAAATCCCAGGTTCTGGGAGTAATTACCGGGGTCTGGAGTAAAATCCCAGGGTCTGGAGTAAATCCCACGGTCTTGAGTAAAAACCCAGGGTCTGGAATAAAATCCCAGGATCTGGAGTAAAATCTTAGTATCTTTAGTAAAATCCCTGGGTCTGGAGTAAAATCCCAGGATCTGGAGTAAAATCCCAGGGTCTTGAGTAAATCCCAGGGTCTGGAGTAAGATCCCAGGGTCTGGAGTAAAATCCCAGGATCTTGAGTAAATCCCAGGGTTTGGAGTAAAATCCCAGGGTCTGGAGTAAAATCCCAGGATCTTAAGTAAATCACAGGGTCTGGAGTAAAATCCCAAGGTCTTGAGCAAAATCCCAGGATCTTGAGTAAATCCCAGGGTTGAGTAAAATACCAGGGTCTTGAGTTAGATCCCAGGATCTTGAGTAAATACCAGGGTCTTGAGTAAAATCCCAGGGTCTGGAGTAAATCCCAGGGTCTTGAGTAAATCCCCAGGATCTTGAGTAAAATCTCAGGGTCTTGAGTAAATCCCAAGGTCTGGAGTAAAATCTCAGGGTCTGGAGTAAAAGCCCAGGGTCTTGAGTAAATCCCAGGGTCTGGAATAAAATCCCAGGGTCATGAGAAAATCCCAGGGTCTTGAGTAAATCCCGGGATCTTGAGTAAAATCCCAGGGTCTGGAGTAAAATACCAGGATCTTGAGTAAAATCTCAGGGTCTGGAGTAAAATTCCAGGGTCTTGAGTAAAATCCCAGGGTCTTGAGTAAATCCCAGGGTCTGGAGTAAAATCCCAGGATCTGGAGTAAAACCCTAGGGTCTGGAATAAAATCCCAGGGTCTTGAGTAAATCTCAGGGTCTGGAGTAAAATCCAAGGGTCTTGAGTAAATCCCAGGGTCTGGAGTAAAACCCCAGGGTCCGGAGTAAATACCAGGATCTTGAGTAAAATCCCAGGATCTTGAGTAAAATCCCAGTATCTTGAGTAAAATCCCAGGGCCTTGAGTAAAATCCCAGGGTCTTGAGCAAAATCCCAGGGTCTTGAGTAAAATCCCAGGGTCTGGAATAAAATCCCAGGGTCTTGGGTAAATCCCAGGGTCTTGAGTAAAATCCCAGGGTCTGAAGTAAAATCCCAGGGTCTGAAGTAAAATCCCAGGGTCTTGAATAAAATCCCAGGGTCTTGGGTAAATCCCAGGGTCTTGAGTAAAATCCCAGGGTCTGAAGTAAAATCCCAGGATCTGGAGTAAAATCCCGGTGTCTTGAGTAAAATCCCAGGATCTGTAGTAAAATCCCATGAATCTTGAGTAAAATCCCATGGATCTTGAGTAAAATCCTATGGATCTTGAGTAAAATCTATGATTAAACTGAATTAATCTGCACTGAACTGGTTTTGGTGTAGCTGAAGTGAAATGTTAAGTGAATAAACTAAAGAAAGCGCACTGTAAAAACAATATCGGGGCAAATGAATATTTTCTTTTCTTCTAATTATATTTTTCTAATACAATTTTCGACCAATCTTATTTTCTATTAGGATGGATATCGGACACAGAGAAAGTACAAAAACTCTTTTGTCATCCAATCCAATCAAATAAAAAACTTTTTGTATGTTTAATATATCTAATGTACTGAGTGATGAGCATAGGTTTTTTATGTTTAAACGTTGTTTTTTCTTTTTTCAAAAGTTTTTTTAAATTCTTGGATTTTTGGAATATTTCGAGAGAAAAAATAGTGCTGCTTTAATTTTTTTAATTTATTTTAATTTCATGGGTTTAAATTTAAATACAACGGCTGACATTAAAAGTGAAAGTTCTGAAAGTGAATGAATTCCAGTTATATTGTTTAAACACCGCACTGTAACTTTAAAGTGACTGTCGAAGTTGTTTAAAGAAATCCGCCCCACCCCGCCCCGTTTAAATAGTTGCAAGTCTGATTCACAACATTACCCGACAACCCTGACTTTTAACAATACTAAATGTAACTAGTCCTTGCTTTGTATTGCATGCAATTTTAGGCAGAAAAAAGAACGAAAGTCGCCCAATTTTTTTCCAAAACCTCTAGTTCCGTTTGTTATCGATTCGAAAACTAACAGTTTTTGCCGTTTGTAAAAGGTTAAGAGGTTAAGTGCATGCAGTGCATATTGTACTGCAGTTTCGGGGGGNGGAATGCAACTCATGATTATTCATATCACTACAAAAGTGTACTGCTGTTTATGGGGGGAAATGTAAACAAACACAATACTACTCAGGCGGCTAACAATAATCACCTAAGAAGTACAGATGGGCATAGTTTTGAAGCCCGTTTAATATAAATATTTAAGGATTGTGGTTTTCATGGGGCTCATAAAGTATATGATATGTTTATCGTGTTTATCCTATCTCTAAATTGTATGCTCTATAAGTATCTATATAATATATATATGAAGTAGCAATATCTATTAGATTGTTGGTAAGAACCCCTGGACCGATTTGCCTCAAATTTAGTTGGGTGAACTCTGTAGAACCATGGAAATGTTTTCAGATTTACTTTAATTTAAGTTGCATTGGTTGGATTTCATCGCCAAAGTTTAGTTAGAACGCTGGGTTCCAAAGCTAGTATAATATATACCAATGCAATTTCTCAGAACGATTGGAATCATCATTTTGATAAATAGTTTGAAAAATCATTTTGATAATTAGTTTGAAAAATCATTTTAATTAATCGTTTTGAAAAATGATTTTTCTAAATAGTTTTGAAAAATCATTTTGTTAAATAATTTTGGTTAATATCGTTAGTCAGAGATTATTTTTCATCATCTAACAAAATTACAGTTCTGAAGAAACAAATGATGAACGAGACACATCTCAGATTTGTTGAATCACCTTTAAACGATGATCATTCCTGAAACGTGTCTGTGTTTGAATACTGTAGAACTAGTGTTACCTCTGCCTAAAAGTGGGTACGATATTTTAAACGTAGTTTTAAGTGTGTTCAGTGTTTAAGTTTACAATATATCTTGCTTTGTTTTCCAGAAAAATAACATTTTTAAAAATTTTTAAATTATAAATTAATTTTTTATTAATATTATTATTAGAAAATAATATTTGAAAATGAGCGGGATTCAAATGTTTCCTAAGCTGAACTGCACAGCATTATACAGGTAAAGGATTATTAACAACACATGATCAGACTTTCATGATCAGACTTTCCTGATCAGACTTTCATGATCAGACTTTCATGATGAGACTTTCTTGATGAGACTTTCATGATCAGACTTTCATGATCAGACTTCCATGATCAGACTTTCATGATCAGACTTCCATGATGAGACTTTCATGATCAGACTTCCATGATGAGACTTTCATGATGAGACTTTCATGATAAGACTTGCATGATCAGACTTCCATGATGAGACTTTCATGATCAGACTTCCATGATGAGACTTTCATGATGAGACTTCCATTATGAGACTTTCATGATGAGACTTTCATGATCAGACTTTTATGATCAGACTTTCATGATCAGACTTTCATGATGAGACTTTCATGATCAGACTTTCTTGATGACCTAAAACTTTTCATTTCTGATGTCTGAAGGTTTGACTTGGTCATAGGTCTTATACATTTTTTTATATAAATTTTTATATATTCTAAACTAGATCATTTTAAAGAAAGTAAAAGGTTTAAACGTTAAACAACTATGAAAAAAAACAGACTGAACGTTCTTTTATTTTTCTACTTTCACTTTTAAACTACTGTTTTAATTTCAACGTACTTTCATAATTTTTCCATAACAGCTTTTATTACTTCTCCACTTCCCAAACTCAGCAATTGTTTTCCCTTTTCATAACTTCCCAACCTTACAAAATTTTTCAAATCTTATAAATTTTCTTTACTTCATCTTTATATTTTTGCCTAAAAATGTATCTACACCATTGGTATATTAAAAATATTGGATATATGTAAGGCTACATAGATATATAAAAATATTGGATATATGTAAGGCTACATAGATATATAAAAATATTGGATATATGTAAGGCTACATAGATATATAAAAAATGCCACAACTAAATTAAAAAATAAATACTCAATAATTTGTACAAAATCGAAATGAAAATTATGAAAATTTAAAAATAAAGTTTGATATCTTTAATCACAGAAAAGTTTACGTACTTATAATTTAACTTGAAACTTATTGGTTTCATGTTTAGATTAGATTCGGTTATCGGAGATTTCTCCCACGTGGAGCACTTTCTCACCAGGTACTGTTAGAAAGACGACCTTTTCTATTATTAATTTATTTTAACTGTGTAAATTTCTTTCGGTTCATTAAAAGTTTGACAATCAACGATTCTTGCACCAATTTTGGCTTAAAGAAACTGTAAGTGTAATTTCAAGTGACCCTCCATGCAAAGATGGCAATGCCCGATTTACACCAGAACCCTTAAAAGTTTTGTCTACGAAGTATGATTAGTTATTCATCATGCATGCTTTTTTATTTAAGCTATTTATTTTCATTTGTGGTTTTTCTGCAAGAGTGACTAGCGCATTTCTTTCTGATAAGAAACAGCGGAGAAATTCACAAAAACATAAAAACAACGCTTTATCTTCAACATCTTTAATGAGATAAATGTTTAAAGGGTACCTTAGAAATCGGACATTTAGCATGGATTGGCAGTGCTTCTTTGGATATAATATTTACCAAAATATTTCTTTTCTTTAACACCGGTACTCTTAAAAGCTTTTGTCTGATCAACAAGGAATTAGGTATCAAGAGACTTGAGCATTTTTGCTTCAGAGACAATGGAGAAATTATCAGACTGAGACTTCCAGGCTACCGTTGTGATTGTAGTGAGAATCTTTTTAATAGAATTTTCATATTTTCATACTTTCATGATTGTTACGTAATTAATGCGAATAGTTAGGTTCATCTCATCTATCTAGTTAATGAGAGGGAATCATAAGTTTTCTAGGCGTAAAATAAAAGATAAGATTAAACTGTTAACGACTGCACTGGGTACGGATAATTACTTGATCCAGGAATATGACCTCTCAGATATGACTTTTGTGTTCAGAAGCATTAACCTTGAACGCTTGATCTAGAAATTCAATTGGGGTCCTTTTAGAATCAATGCTAAATCCCACAAAAAAGGTATTCCGGAGGTTGCATAAGATGAGATCAATGCTTGATCAAGAGGTTAATAGCTCAAAAGTTCTGACTTCTGAACTCACTGAACTACTTACTACCGGCTCAAATTTGAATCAACGATAGAAAGGTAAAAATCAAGTTAAGATTTAAATCGTTGATTCAAATTTGAACAGGCGGCAGGCAATTCAAATTCATTTAATTCGGCCCAAGGTTTTTTTCCAGATTAAATAACCTTGGCTTGGTTTCTGGATCAATACATGTACCTATCCTCGACCTAAAACATCAAGGTTTTGCAGGATAAACAAGCTAAGGGAGTAGGCAGATCACATTACATCCAGTTAATATTGTATTATTCATAATTCATAAATACAAGGATGGGAAGATTGTGCACGTTTTCCATACTTTGAAAATGGTATTATGTCTAAATTAAGACTATTAACCTTAGGACTCGTAACCTTTCATTTATAATATATTGTAAAAACTTTTGCAAAAAATATTTTAATTTAATTCCTCCGAAAAAAACGTTGTAAGTTATTAAAAACGATGATGAAGTGTTGACCGTTTGAACCATAGTTCCAGAGTTAGTTCCACTACAATTAATTAGTTAATTTTCACACACATATTGCATTCATTTTTAAAATTCTATTCTTGTGTTGAGACATATTCAACATTTTAGAATTGACTGGTACTTTACTTCCTAATTGCACGTACAATACCACTAATAATATTGTATCAACGACTGTCAGTTTTGTTCTTATTTGAGATACCGAATATACGTACAATACCACTAATAAAAATATATCAACGACTGTCAGTTTTGTTCTTATTTGAGATACCGAATATACGTACAATACCACTAATAATATTGTATCAACGACTGTCAGTTTTGTTCTTATTTGAGATACCGAATATACGTACAATACCACTAATAATATTGTATCAACGACTGTCAGTTTTGTTCTTATTTGAGATACCGAATATACGTACAATACCACTAATAAAAATATATCAACGACTGTAAGTTTTGTTCTTATTTGAGATACCGAATATACGTACAATACCACTAATAATATTGTATCAACGACTGTAAGTTTTGTTCTTATTTGAGATACCGAATATACGTACAATACCACTAATAATATTGTATCAACGACTGTCAGTTTTGTTCTTATTTGAGATACCGAATATTTTCTAATCCTCCTTAAAAAAGGCTTTAAAGTGAGATTCACTAAACATAAGAATTCCGAAGTAACATTTTTATTATTGAATCTAGCATTGATCCTGGTTTTTAAACACCGTGTAATGTATCCAGGGAGGAAATTTGTGAGATAAAATCTGGTTGGGTGACAATAGTTGGAGAGGATACAGGGGGACATGGAATCAACATATTTCTCAGGTAAAATTAGTTTTAAAACTAGATTTGCTTTTTTTAACTCGTCCTTTCGTTATGGTATATCTATAAAAATCTAAATTTTGTCCCCCCCCCCTCAACCGCCTAGTAATTGTTTTTACGCAAAATAGTTTAACTTTAATACAACTTGTAATGTGTATTTATCTCGACTCGTCGTTTCGTTCTGGTATATCTACATTTTTAATAAATTCTGAATCTAATTCAATCTTAAAATCGGTGTATTTAATCTTTACTCCTGTCACCGTATACTCAAATGTTATAATTCTAGCATACAAATTGTATTATTGTAATATCTGACTTCACCATGCGTATCCTGTGTCCATATGTTTGAAATTCTTACATTGATTTCTTTATGTAACAATCTTCTTGATCAACCCTGTTCTAAATCATCAATTTCTAAAAAATATTTCGCCATGCACCATTTGAATTTTTTTTAATAAAATGCTTAATTGCCCTCAAAAATATTTCTCCTGGGATATTGAATATATTCTTTGAAAATATACTTTCCAGAAATGAAAGTTGTTTTTTGTTTTGTTCACATGAACTGATGGCAAACATTGCTGGGTTCTTCTGTTTTATTGAGAGCATCTTATTAGATTCATCTACTTTCTGCTTAAAAACATATTTTTGAACCATGGATACATGGCAAGAGCATTTAAAAATGTATAAATATTTTTTGGTGCCCCCAAATTTTAACCTTCTGCTTCTTAAGAAACCTTCATCAATTATTTGGTGAACCGTATCAACATATCAACGAAAAAGCGAAATAAATTGTTTTCTGTTTTTTATCATGATAAATCAATATTTTTTTGTTCATTCAATCATTTTTTTACTGTTTAGGATGTTTAAACATTACCCTGAGTTCAGGTAAAATAAATAGATAATATACACACATGATAATACAAAATTGTTAAGAAATACAAAAATTATAATTTTTTTAAAGATCTCAATACTTTGGTTTCCTGGCGACCTTGCGTGAAGATGAACTAAGAAAAAGTCCACGGTATCACTTTACTTTCTAAAATACATCATATGCTATTTTTTTTTTCTTTAACCAATTAACCCTCACAAAGTTTATGACAGAAGTGGTTAATTAACTTACAAACTTAAGCATTAAACAAACTATTTTCAGTCTTTTTTTTAAATATTCAATTTTAGCTTTGTCAGGGTTGGCTTACGTAGTTCCAGGGGGGGGGTAATATTTGAATTACCCCCCCCCCCCACAGAAAACAGATGTATGATAAGTGCAAAAGAAGATACATCAGCCAGAGAATAAATTCACTGCCCTTTTAAAAAATGTTGTTAAAATTTAAATTTACAATTGAATGTTAAAAAAGTATACTTATATAAAAATCTAAATTTTGTCGCCTGCAGGCCAAACATTTTTTGGAATCTTTTCTTGGAAATCAAAATCGAAGGTCTAAAAGGGTCTGCTTTCTCAAATATTTTCCAGGGGAGACGTCCCCCTTCAACCGACCTGTAATTGCTTTAAAAATTTACGCAAAATAGTTTAAACTAAATACAACTTGTAATGTGTATTTATCTCAACCTCTGAGAACAATTTCTTCAAAAATTCCTCCATCATATTGATTTAACACTTGTTATGTACGCCTAAGCAAACATTTACAAGGTTTGAAAAATATTTAAAGAGAAAAGATTTTTTCACATTTACAAGGTCAAATACTGAATTTGAGAATTCTTGAATTACATAACTTTGCTTAATTTAAAGATCTAAGAGTTACTTTTAAGAAATCTTTAAAAACCAATAAATCGAGTCTTAATTTGAAGCAAACTTCTGATTTCATTTTTCTTTTTAAATCGGTTTGATTTCTATTGAATTTAATTTGTTTTCTAGAAATCAATTTTGTTTCTGAAGAAATCAATTTTGTTTCTGAAGAAATCAATTTTGTTTCTGAAGAAATCAATTTTGTTTTTTTATGATATTAATATGATTTCAAATAAAAGAATTAAGTTTTTGCCACAAACTCATATTTTCTAATCCCTAAATCTTTGCAATTCCATGTCGTTTACCTTTATATTTCAATTATATTAGATCAAATAAATCTAAGTTTGAAATATCAAAGGTTTAACAGGTTGCAAAGATATGGGGATTGGAAAATCTACGTTTGTGGCAAAGATTCATTTCATAGTTTGCTGATTATTTTATTTCTAGTTTAAACTCCCACGCATCAGGTGTTCTACTCGGGGTTACACAGATTATTAACGGATTAGACAATCAGGTAGTGTAAAGATTGTAAAACTAGATAATCATAAATCTCCCCTGCATGTTATCCTATAACTATTGCTTTCAAATTCGCCATTATTTTATCGTTGTCTCAAAACAAATATTTTGCGAAACATTCTGTTATAATAAAGGGATATTCAAATATCGTAAGAGTTCACATTTTTTCGGTCAAAATTTTCAATTTCAGCCGTCCATAAACCGTTCCTTGGCTTCGTTGCCACAACAAAATTTTGGCCTAACTGGTGTAGACATTTTGACGTTTGGTGGATGCAAACAAACAACTAATATAAATATCTATAAATGATTTTAACAGTCTATAAATATTCATTAATATTTGTTTTTTTTTTCTAGGAAAATAAATAGTTTTTATTTCCTTTTCAGTTAATTGTGGAAGATGTTGCTTCTAAATTTGCAGTTTCCCATTTCAAGCGAGGCGTGCGCGCCAAGAATGTGCGAGTTCTCACCAATATTATAGTCGAGTATCTCCAGGTGAAACTATAAGGGTTAATATGAACAAATAACAATAACGAAGAATTGCACACGACGATTTATAAATTCCGCTGGAAAGCCTAAGTGAAGCTTTTACCATATTTTCCAAAAGAATGGAGTTTATTTCAATTTTCACATTAGGATTAAAAAAGAAAATATTATGGTTAACTAATGTTAGAAACACTGCGTAAATAATGATCTATGAGGAAGATTTACTCCGGGGGTGGTGTAATGGCTGAGAATTTTTTCAACCGCCCGTTTTTATTGTTCCAATGTCGTCTTCATTTTGTTTCCTTCATGGTTAACTACAGAGGCCGTTCCTTCCATCAACTACATAAGTCGACAATCAGTGTTCCGGTCTAGTATGCGAGGAGGATAAAAGCTTCTAATTTTGATAATTCACATAATAGTTTCCTATGACCAGAACATTTCATTGATTTTTATATGAAAGATGGATTCCATGTCAGGCTGTGATATCTAAAGAGAAAAAAATATATATTAGAGTGGAATTTAGACAATCACTCGGTATGAATTTTGTCAGTCCCTTTAAGCTTAAAAGGGAGTTCAAAATGTACAAATAATGTAAATGTTCACAAATTGCATGCAGTAGAGTATATTAATACAGTATGTTCCCTAGACTATCCATTTCAATTTCGAATTTTTTAAAGCTGTTAAAAAAAACTATATAAAATGAATTAGGTGAATAAAAAACATAATTTGATTTATAGTTATAATGGAAAATCATTGTTTGTAAAGTAAAGCATAGAGTCTATGTAAATGATCATTGGTCAATTATGAAACCAGCCTATTTCATAATTTGGTTTTCTTTTAATATTGATTTTAGATTTTCTATAAAATTATGTTCCAGGGCCCAAAAGGTTATATAGCACATATATGTGAAGTACACCTGCAGTATTGAAACAGTACATCAAAATGGCCGTTTACATTTTTTTCTAGTAAATTCCACTCTAATATATATATTCCATTGTCTTTGGTGATATCCGTCTAATGTTTACTTTACAGAGACCAGAGACCAAGGTTATAGAGTATAAAATTAGATACTCTGGATATGCTGCAATGCATGAAAAATGTCGTCTTCATACCAATGGAAGATTCAAATACAGCAAAGTTAAAATGCAAGGAAAGTTAATTGCGGTTGCGTATACTCTGCGTACATATTGAAACCAGTTCTCTCTGGGCGGAATTTGTAAACAAGAATAGATGCATCCATGTTCGTTTAGTATCCGAGGATGTTAAAAGCATTAAACTTCTATAATTTTGATGTTTCACGTAATTGTTTCCTATGACATTGATTTTTTATTTAAAAGATGGATCCCATGTCAGACTTCGACTTCAGTCTTGTGTTTACATTACCGCCCAGAGACAGTACTCGCAGTACAAAAGATGCGTACACCTCTGAAATAACTTTCAGATAATGATAATGACTTCACTGATTATTCTTAAGTATAATACAAATTGTGGCAAAGGCTCACTAATCATAAACAAAATCTATAAATTTTTTAAAATTCTTAATCATTTATAATTTTCCCAATCATTTTCTTTTTTCGTTTGAGTTTTAAAACAAAGAAATAAAAAGTTAACATACAATTTTGATATATCATCTGATCATTGTTAAGCCTTTTAAGATTAAAAAGAAAAAATTAAGCATATCATTTTGTCTAATTCTTCTTTTGAAAAATTCAATCTTGGTAGGATAGTCAAATATCGCTAGTTCTAAATAATATTAAGTTTGAAGGAACATTCGTAGATAGATCAGACATCCATGTTTTTTAATAATCTTGATTTCATTATATTTATCTAAGTATTACAATGTTTTAAAATAATGAAAAAATGAGAGGGTCATATCTATCCGCAGTTCAACTACTGATTAGTCTGCAATGAAAATCATATTTTTTTCTGGAATTTAAAAAAAAAATTATTTGCTTTTTTACAGGAGACAGGAGGCTTGTCAGACCGTGCTAGTGGAGCCTTTAAGAAAATGTTCGATAAGTTCCTGGAGATTATTGAAAAAAAGTAATAAAGCAAATCATACTTTTAGAAAAAATATGTCAGATATATTCTTCTATAGACAGTTTTACACTTTACTAATTTTACTTCAAAGTGTTGAATATGAAGGCGACTGAGACTACTCCCAGACTCTAGTTATGATTTTAAAGAGTTCAATATGAACATGAATTATAGCACTATCGTACACATACCATACCTATTTCACTTATTAAGTTTATTTTCAGTCTACTGGGTGGGAATCATTTGCTTTATAACCACATCAAATAGAAATTGCTTAAATGTTGGCTCCCCATATTCTAGAATTGTATGGGTCGTATTGTGAATGGATTAATGAGAACTGTTTTTAAGGCAGGAGGACCTAGAAGATCAGGAGAGAAAGGAAAGAAGAACTAAACAGATGAAAAAAAATATTAAACTAATGGCCATTGCTCTAATTGTTCTAGGTATATTTTGTATACTACAAGGAAAACTCAGGGATAAATAAAAAAAAATAGATTGTGTAAAAAAAATTATAAATTTTATATCAAAAATGCCTTATATGATCCCATTGAGGGTTTGAGAATTATTATTCTATTATTATTCTATATGACCACAGGGAGATTGTAATGTTAAATTTTATGTATAACCAAACTTTCAGGTTAGTTCGCGCTCCTTTCCGAATAAAAATTTTAGCTCTTAATTGTTGCTAATCAAGCAGAAAATGTTTCTTAGTAATAATAAAACTCAAAATTGAGCAGATTTTTCGGCTTAAATTAGATTCCTTAAATTAGTGCATTTTCGAAAATAATAAATGAAGACATTTGTTTCCGACCCAAATTTGTCAACGTCAGCATTAAAAAAGTTAGAAGTTTTTTTTTTAAAATTCACCAATGAAACAGAAACATCGGCAAAAACTGTTGATTGTTCTTTTATTTACAATGTACGAAGAAATTAAAGTTGTTGGTCAACAATCAACATACATTCAAGATGTAAGAACTGAAAATAATAAAACAATTCTTAGTTAACAGATAAACTAATCACATGATGAGAGCAGAGAGCATGCAATGTATTTTCTTGGTAACAGCGATATTTTTCCTTCCTATTAAAGGGAGTGACCGGCAATGTGTGGTAGTTGAACTGAGAATGTAGTATTGTGGAGAAATTTCTTAGGAATCATTTGAGACCTATGAGAGGTTTTATGGTGCATATTTGTTCAGCAAGGGGGCAAATTCAATATTTTAAATCCTTAAACATTGTTCATTTTTGATGGATGATTTTGAGAATCGGTTTATAAAAAATTATTCAATAACGACGACGAAAAATGTAGTAAAAATTCTACAGTAATCTAATTAGTTGTTTAGGAACAAGTTAATAAAAAAAATAAATATTATCATAGCAAATAAGTAATCTTATTCAGTTATTGGGTTCTTTGGTCTCATTGTTCACAAATACTTTCTGCAGAATTCCTAGAATTTTTTTAACAGACGACATTTAAAGAAATCTGCGAATACATTCATAAAGAATAAGAAATTCAATACAATGATGAAAAAGAAATAATTTATTCTAAAATTGATTTGTTGAGAAAATTTCCATTGAGAAATATGTTCTTTAACTTCTAATTAGTTTACTTCAGGCGATTTTTTTCATTTTTGTCGTCGTTATTTCATAATTGAAAAAATTTATTCTCAAAACGTAATCACCCAAATGGATGATTTTGAACGTCGGCTTTGCGCTCAAACTCGGTAATTATTCATCATTTTAACGTTTTGTATGTCTCAAATGAATCTTAAAAAATTTCCGGTTACTCCCAGTAAGGTTAAGATTAATAAGATTTAAAATCTAGGAGTTGAGAAGTCTGTTGAGTTCTTAACAGCGCTGTTAAACGGAACCAATGGAAAAGCTGGACAAAACTGTGTCTGTGGTTAACATCGCTGTCAAAATAAAATAACAATGTGGTAATGTTTGAAAATATTTAACATCGACGTAAAGATATATATTTACACATTTTACAGATCGTTAAAACCTTTAAAGAAATTAATTATTTTTGTTAGTACTTCCATATTGTAAATACATTGTGAATATATACGCCGTAGTGTTTTAAATTGTTTAAAGGGACTGTAAGCAAATGATTCCCCAACAGTACATTTAAAAGCTTTGTTTGACCAAATATCAATGTTTATAATTTTGAAAACTGATTAGTTTCAATAGTGGTTTCTACTTTCTAGTAAATAGAACATTTTCATAATGTGTTTTGGTTACCTGTCCATTTGGTTTAAAATTTATCTTATTGTTATGGAACTATGGTAAAAATAATATATAGACATAGCAATTTTTTATAACCTTACTATCAAAAAGAAAATTATTGCTATACTTCTTTGTTATCTTAGTAAATAAACCTATAATCGACCGCAGCCACGTTATGGTCCTCCAGTCCAGTTTTCCTCCTCCTTTTAATTGGTATGAATTATGTAGATATCTAATTAATAATAAAAAAATTCTAATTTCGCACTCTTTGAAATAAATCTATATATATTTTTGGACCTCACAATATAACCCCGTTATGAATCAAAACTGTGTGACAGAAAGATTTCAAATAAAATAAAAACTAATAATACGCAAGATGCTCAAAATGTTTTATATTGTTGTTTTATCATCATGTACGAACGAAGAAGAAGACTTGGATGGGAAAAGCCGCAACAAAACAAGCTAAGATTATTCCCTGGAAGGGGAAGAAAAACGCCTATTTGTTTTCAAGACACTTAACAATTTTTATCATTTATTAAACTTAATGCCGACAAGGTTAAAATTGAATTTCATTGAAAAGTAAAAACAATTTTGTAGAAAAAAGATGGTAAAATATCTGGACATGGTAAGACAAAATTGTTTTTCCTATTAAATGAAAATTACATTTTGTATCTAATTTCGAGGATACAATAGTGTTAACTGTTAATAGTACATAAGGTTATTTAAAACATTTACAAAATTTGAGATTTTTGTTTAAAATGGACAAAATGGGAACATTTAATCTCGATGTTGAATTTTGTAGAACTTCTTAAAACGGATTATACAATATTATTAATGTTATAATTTCCAAAATAAAAAAGACAAAAATTAAATGCCCACTATATACTTAATTAATACAATTTAGGTTGATATATATATATAATAAAGTTGACATTGACTAGATGGTTTAACACTTATATACATTCATGTAATATCGTAGTATTTATACTTTTTCAAACAAAAACAATTTGGAAAAGTACACTTCAATGCTACAGAACAGAACTAGCAGAAAATAATAATTTGGTGGATGGTGAAACAATAAATTGCGTATTTTCGTGTACACACTTCACATCCTTGTGGCATGTCCTTTACAGAACGGTTTCCCAGATTTGACGAAAAAGCTTTGTCCCTCCAGGTTCTTCTTGCAAAGCTTGAAAAAGAAAAATATATCAATGACATATATTTCAGTAATAGATATTTAAAAAAAACTTTCAAAGGTATCACTAGAATGTCTAGCTAATTAATACAAGTATTAGCTAATTTTTATCAATATTTTAAAACTAGGAAAACAATTTTTAAGCAAATGTCGTGTTTATGGGGATTTTTCTTATTTAGTATAATATTTTTTTTATCAAAATGTAAAAGGCGCACTGCCCCTTTAATATCAACTAACTTATTAAAAAAGTTTCTTTGCAGTTCTTTTCCTCACATGATCAGTGATCAGACAAACAACGCATAGCTCCAAAATGTTAAGACAACTTACAAATTTCGCTGCTGTAAATTAGAAAATTAGCGTTTGTGGCAAAGACTCAAATACTTTATATTTTAAAATAACTAGAACATGCGGGAGGTTTTGAGAATTTTTTTCCAAGAATTACCGAAAGCATTGTGCCGACAAGATAAGAGCAAATACAAGATGAGAAGAATGATTCGGACTTTTACTAGTGATTTATTGTGATTATGAATAGTACAATGTATTCTTAAAATTACAAAAAAAATTGTCAAAAATGCCTATAAAACTATCTAAATATTTCTACACTATTTACTAATATCTAAAAACTAAAAAATTGTTGTAAAGCTTGAAGCGAGCATTGAAACCAAATTCTTGATTTTGGCTTGTTTATGGTTTAAATGTTCCCAGAGACCTTAACGCCGTGCAGCGTGTTCTTTACAAAAGACGCGTCCACCTTTTGCGTAAAAACTCATTCCTTCCAAGTTACTCTTACACATCTGAATAGATGGCTTCTTAGCAAATAAAGAAGTTTTTTGAGCATACCTTTTTTCAATTTTACGGGTAAATACATTGTCGATTTCAATGAAAATTATTTAAAAAGAGGAAAAGAATTTAAAGTTCGATTTTAACATTTGGCAGTCTGAACTACTTTTGAATGTCTATAAATGCATGTAAAAAGAATATCGCATCATTTTATGACTAAAATAAGAATTTCCAAGAAAAAGTTAACAGAAGTATTATAAAAAAAATCTTATAAATTTAAAGAAGCTGTCAACAACAAAAATCGGGCTTTTTCATTTGTATATTATGTTTACAAAACCACAAATTTAGAAGCCGTTTATCAATTTAATATAATGTTATTTAAAAACGTAGAAAATCATGTGATATTGTATAGGGCTTATTCACATTTTTGCTTTAAGCATGGAATTTGTATGAAGGCAAGTAGTTATTTTGAGTTTTGAGAAACATTTTTTTGGTTGCCTCGAAGCAATTGATAAGATTAACTACCGTTTGCAATTAAAGACCTTGGGGCATAAATGAGCAATTATAAAGCACTGAGTGCCAATATTAATAGAGGTATAGTCGTGGAACAAAATAGCATTAAATGCACTGTGAATGATGAAGCAAGGGGTATTAAAAAGCAATTAAAGTATTTGAATGGGGGGGGGGNGTGCAATTTAAGCACTGTAAGGGGGGGGATGGGTATTAATGAGGATGGTTTACCGTGCAATTATAGCACTGTGAGGGGGGATGGGTATTAATGAGCATGGTTTACCGTGCAATTGAAGCACTGTGAATGATAGTTGTTGTTTAGAGCTTCCACCCATCTATCCCCAGCTTCTATAGGAAATCCACAGGAGACACATTTAGTAGTAAACAACTCGTTCCAGTCTAATTAATTCATCAAACAATAAATCAATCAATCAATCAATCAATCAATTAATATTCTAGTAAGATTTTGAAAAAAAAGATTTTCTCAAGAGGCTACCGACATGTCTGTTCACAATAGTACCCCTGAACCTGTTGCCTGTGCAAGCCTCGAGATATGAAGGAAATAAAAGAATTCATATCTTTTCAAAATAAAATCGGTGAAATCCAATCTTTGTTCATTAGATAAATTTGATAGGATATTGTTGTGAATCGGACATTTCAGCAGCAAAATATAGAATCATGTTAATTACAAGAGCAGTCCCTTTATGATAAATAATATTTAACCTGTTTCACAATATGGTAATCCATCCTCTAGATAAAACGGAGAATTGGCAAACTGGACTCCACAGTAGGCACAGCAGAAACAATCAGGATGGAAGTTTTTTCCCATAGCTTTCAAGCAGTTCTAAACAATATAGCTTTCAAACAGTTCTTAACAATAGAGCTGTCAAGCAGTTCTAAACAATAGAACTTCCAAGCAGTTCTAAACAATAAAGCTTTCAGGCAGTTCTAAACAATAGAGCTTTCAAGCAATTCTAAACAATATAGCTTTCAAGCAGTTCTAAACAATATAGCTTTCAAGCAGTTCTAAACAATAGAGCTTTCAGGCAGTTCTTAACAATATAGCTTTCAAGCAGGTCTAAACAATAGAGCTTTCAGGCAGTTCTTAACAATATAGCTTTCAAGCAGTTCTAAACAATATAGCTTTCAAGCAGGTCTAAACAATAGAGCTTTCAGGCAGTTCTTAACAATATAGCTTTCAGGCAGTTCTAAACAATAGAGCTTTCAGACAGTTCTAAACAATAGAGCTTTCAGGCAGTTTAAAAAATGAATTTGAATAAATTTAACTGTTTTCATTGAAAATTTGGGAAGAACGAATGAAACATATTCAAAAGTGAAAAAATCTATACTAAGGAAAAAATTAGTAAAAAAAGGAATAAATCCTATTCAACGTGACTAAATTGTATTATCTGAAACATTTTACAGCTCATAAACCCTCCCTCCCCCTCCCTGCTAGCACACCCTCCCCTCCCCCTCCAAATTTTCTCAACACCTCTAGTCTGCAAGTTTTTGCACAGTGGGCTCCAGTTTAAACAAACATTTCACATTCCTTCTCAAAATCTACATTCATGAAAACTCATCGAAGCTAGGGACCTTTCATAAAATAAGTTCTATTAAAACTAGCTCAAGTACCCGGTGTTGCCCAGGTCTATGTTATTATTCATCGTCATAGTTACTCCAACCGTTTACCCGCGCTTGGTATTAACTAATAATTTTAGCTAAAGAGGAATTTCAAAAATGCCAGAACAAATTTAAGCCTATGTCATCCCCGGAATCCCTGGCCATGGATTCCATAAAAAGATGTCAACAAGCTTTGTCCAACCGTTTGGCCAGCCTTAGCTAAGTATAGATGTATCTTCTTAAAATAAGTCTAGAACATGTTCTATTGTTTATTAAGATTGATTATTGCTGTATACATGTCTATGTATGAGAGAGAAGAGCTTTATTATATACCAGCTAAAGTGCCCGGCGTTGCCTGAGGAATTTTAAAAAAATTGCATTTTCAAGAAAAAAATTATAGTTTAGATTTTTTCAAATTTTAAAAAAGAAAAAAATTCAATCTAAAAATAAGTCAATTTAACCAGCCTTTAGGCCAGCTATAGCTTTATCAAGTATCAGAAATCTTTGACGTCTATTAATTTTTATGTTTACTGGGACACCCTGTATTTTCTTAGATGAAATGGAACAATAATCTGAAAGCATGCATTTAACTTCAAACAAATGACTTATGCCTGGGGATGAACCCTATTATTAGAAAGTTACCCACTGCAACACTGCATCTTGTTTATTTTCCATTTCAAATTTATGAATTGCTAAAAACATTTTGAAAATTTATTGTGACAGTCGTGAGCTATTTCGAGTAGAAATGTTTCTATTTTTATTAAAATCATGTAAACATGATGTTAAAACAACCATAAAATCCGCTTCTTAAGCAAACAAATTCAGAAAATCCATGCTATATATTTCTTCTAACTAAGATCTTATTTTGTTTAGTGAATACTCATGATGGACATATTTTGCTTTACCAAGTGCATTTTTAAACTTATACGCAAAAAAAGAAAAAAGAAAAAATGGGAAAGGAAAAGGAGAAAATGGAGGAAGAGGGAAGGAAAAACAGAGGAAAAAGGGAATTTACTTGTTTAACATTTTTCGAATGTCAACTCATTCATTTTAAGTTTGCTTTGGCAATTTTTGTCTGTAAGAGCAACTTTCAAAGATGTTAGTTCACCATGGAGTTAATAAGAGATAAAGCAGCAAAATGCTGATTTTTTTCACTGTCTGTAAAGTGTAAAAATTGCATTGGGGTTTCTTTAAACTTAAAACCTACATATTTTATTTTGTATGACATATATATTTATAAATTTTTTGTAGATTTTATAATTTATTGTACCGCTATGTGTACGAAATAAATATAATAATAAAGAAATTGAGTTTTTGCCACAAACTCTGTTTTTTATTTTTATATCTTTGCAAACTGATGTTGCAGACCTATGAAATTTCAAACTATAAAATTTGTCAGACCAAATAGCAATAGCAGGTTGTAAAGTAAAAGGGATTTGAGTTTGTGGCAAAAACTCAATTCCTTTTTCTTCTAATCTTTTCCTACCAATAAAGAGGTTATACTTAAACATTGTGAAGACAAATATTACAGTTTTAATACAGTGTAAAATTATCGGTATAACCATGAAAAAGAAAATTAAAACAATTTTTTTTATAAAGCTTTAACTGTTAAATCTTTATATAAAAGTTCAATTAACTATCTATAACATAACACATTAAATCTATTAATGTAAATTCACCAAAATTCACACAAAAAAAAACATTTACATTTAAAATTAAAAACAAATTGAAACACTGAGGGCAAGATTTCGTCGCAAACTTAACCTTTTAGCACCAGTTACAATGTGCAAAAGGGGTTTCATGGTTTGAATATTTTTGGAACACATTAAACCTGTAAACACAGTTTGTTTAATTCTGTGAAGCATCTCTTTTTGGGACTTAATTTCAAAATGCAGAAGCATTAGTTATCGTTTCGTTTGCGTCGAATCTGTGTTGATATGCTTGCAATGTGCACTAAAAAATTGGATCCATATCCTGGAGTATTGCAGTTATTTTAAATAAGCCTAATAACATTTAAAGATACAAGTTCAGCATATATATTAATATTTCGTTCTACAATGTCAGCCAATAAACACTATGTACACTTGTAACAAGAGAACTTTTTCCGTAAGCGTATGATTATAAAGCGGTATTTTAGAGTAGGTATTTGTAACTTTGCATAACATTATCTAAAGCAATTTATGCCCCCTTCCTTTAAAACTGTACGCCGTAAACAGTTCCTAAACTATTAATAACTATAAATAAACGGCCTTCTTTTGCAAGTTGCATGTATTTTAACTTTCATTGTTCAGTTTGCACCCTCTTTACCTGAGATATAAACAAAGTGTTGAAGCAAGGTGGACCTTTAATTTTTGTCTTAACATTTTGGTCGATTTTTCGTGGTACCAAGAAAAAATTCACTTAAAAAAGAGCCCGGCTCCCCCTGAACCCCCCCTGGCCTGGCCGAGCCAAGGGGGTAGAAGGGAGGGTGTCCGGTCCGACCTTACTCGGAGAAATGGCGAATTCTAGCCAGCTTTCACAAACCTTTACCTTCTACAGGGATGAATATAAACAATACATTTTATGGAATTTAAAATAAAAGTAATATTAAAAAAGGTAAATCTTAAAATGTTTCTAAATTTCTAGTTTTTAACATGAACTGCACTATTTATCCCTGTAATTTCTGAACGCATGCGCTAAGCTAAGTAGCTCGTCGGTCAACTATAGATAGTCCAACTAGACATATAGATAGATAGATAATATTAAAAACATTGATATTGAGAGAGCTTATGTCCATGGATATCATGTTATCAACATCAAATAAAAAGCTTCCACCATTCAGAAAACATACTTAATTACACTTCACAGACTTAATAACATAATTGTCATAAAAATCTTCCAAAAAAGTATCAACTCTTCTTACTTTCAAATTGAACGTAACTGTTATCTATAAAGCTATTCATATTTTTGGGATTATTTTGATCAAGGAGCAATATAAAAAGGGAGGGGTATGATAAGGGTATTTACATTTCTACAATAACATATTGGATCTTCTTTCCACTTTGAATTGAGTTGAAATCATTTAGATTTTTTTCTCAGAAGTTAGTAATTTTTTAAATTTTTGTATCGTCGTTATGAAAAATCTAAAATGTTTCGCAAATTATCCTGTTTTCCAAAACAACGCTCTTCTAGAAAAATTGTTTAAAGTTTTTGTGGTACTTAAAAGCAAGAAAATTTCTTTCCTGTAAACTGAGGTCTTGTCATTCTCCAAGAATAATTCAAAAGATTTGAATGTTTTCAGATTCTAATGAAATTCTTTAATATGATAAAATTCAAATTCACTAACTAAACCAAGGATTAATTTTTTAAACTGTTCTAACTATTTTAATTTTGAAAATTAAACCGTGACATGTGTGTTACATGTCTCAAAGAGCGATTTTTTTACACCGTGCAGATAATTTAAGAGAATTTTCATTTTATCGGTTTTTTTTTTTAATCCTAGCCGGTCGTACCAACCCTAGTAGTGCCAATTATCAAAGTAGAGAAACGGGTGTAGGATGAGTCTTTTCAACAAAGTACAATTTTCTTATCCCTATATTTTTGTAACCTGATGGTGTACAATTAAAACTTTTTTTGGAGCTACCATAATTCATAGTTTGAAATATCTAAGGTCATATTGGGTTTCAAAGATAGGGGTTAGAAAATCTGAGTTTGAGAAAGAGACTCAATTCCTTTCAACATTGGATTTTCGCTAAAGTTTCTAAGGCTTTGATTTAAACATTAAAAATCTGCATGCAAATCATTTAAAATCTTATGCAAATTTTAAGACTGCCTTTTCCCTTCCCCCTAATGTAATAATTCAAATATTTTATCCTGAACATGATTTTTTTAAGACTGATGTGTGAAAGCTGAAAAGAAATGAGTTTTCAACCGGAAATGGATTCAAGAGAACCGGATATGATTTATTTGTAAAAACACATATAGGGTTGCAATCAATTGTACACAGTTTTAATTAACATTTAACATTGTACAATTGTACTTTTATCATTCCAATAGTATCTTGACATTCAGATGTCCTGAAGCCGAATTTAAAGAATTTGAGCCGCGGCTCAAATGTTTTTGGTTCCACTTAAATTTGTATTAAATTTTTCAAGATTTAAGCCGGCCCTCAGTCAATTGAAACCGGTTTTTGGGGCTTAAATTCATTAAATTCGGCCACTGGATTCATATTTAGTAAGCTAGAGACTTCACTTGTTTGTAAATTCTAACTTATTATTTTATTTTTATTATTTATTATACATGCATTTTATAATTTTAACTACGAATGAACCAGCCCCATTTAAAATTGTTTTCTAATGTACAGTGAGAACCATTAATCATTAATTAATGGTTAATGTATTAGAAAGACGACATCAAAGTAATACTTAAGTTTATTTGATATTACAAAGCAAATAGTTTTATAGTAACTATTAAATCTTAGTAAGTAAATGGGTTCATTTACACTGCTTAATTGCAGTATCTCATATTCATTGGACTACTTTAAATCATAACTGGAGCTTAAAGTGGTTTACCTTGTCATTTCTGGTTATCACTGTATGTAGTTATAAATAGACATTTCGTTAGCACGTTGAATAAGATACATGCGTCTTTAATTTTGCTTTAATAATGTGTCTTTAATTTCAATTTGACTTACCCCAACTATTTTCTTCCTGCATTTTTCACAATCTGGAGCCAGATACCTTGCATAGCAGTCCTCACAGTATAGTAAACCTAGACGAAATCAGATTTACTTTACAAGGGAATTCTTTTGCCACAAACTCAAACTTTTTAATCCCTATTTCTTTTCAACCTGATGTGTAAACTTTTTATATTTAAAACCTAAATAGATTATTTGATTAAACAGAATTCATGTGATTACAAACACAACCTTTAAGGTATGTTTTCAAAGGAATTGAGTTTTTACAACAAACTTTAATTTTTTAATCCCTCTATCTGTACAACCTGATTTAGTAGACCTTGAATATTTCAAACTATAAATTCTGTTAGATCAAGTAGTTTTAGTTTGAAATATCAAAAATTTAAACTATCGAATTAGAACGATTTGGGGATTAAAAATCACGGTTTGTTGCAAAAACTCGATTCCTTTATATAATAATTTTAAGGGATATGTGAGAATTAAATTAGGCTTTAATTCATCTTGCAACTTACTAAATAGATAAAACTATTTCCGTCGTCCATATTTAAAAGTTACAAGCAGTGTTTAAGTTGTAACTGAACGCTCAAAATTCAATTGTGGTTTCTCTATAAAAGTTGTTCTCATATTTCTACTTGCACTGCACAAACATTTTTAAAAAATTGTCCAAATTAAACAGTTTCCAAGATATATAAAAACGACGAAATCTTGAACATTATTTAGTTTAGAAAGGTGTAAAGGATATTGTTGTGAATGGAAGGTTACAACCACAGTCCCGGCCTTTAACTATTTTTTATTTTCATATTTTCATAAAAAAGAAAGATCATTTTAAAAGTTGTGTTTACCTTTTTCCTCTACGAATCCAACTTCTTGCAACGATTTGCGGCAATTCTCCATCCCGCACAGGAAGTGAGCCGGGCACCATGTTTTACCCATGGCAGTTATAAAGGGACCTCTGAACAATTGCTTACATATTAATGTTATTCGACATGTTTAAATAAGTTCATTTACTTTTTTATGTTAAAGAAATTCAAAAAATAACAAAATATGTTAAAACTGTCTTCCAAAGCTATTAATCACACATTACTTGCTTCAGTAAATATTTGTCCAAAATACAGGCGATTATTTCAATATAATGAAGAAGAATTTCGATGTTTATTTTGATTTCTGTCAAGCAGTTAAACAGAATTGATACCCATAAACATAGAAGTCAAGAGAAGCTCAATTAAAAAAGCTTTCCTTTGATTACTTGCAAACTTGTAATTCGAAAAAAGCTTTTTAAGAATCAAAACTTATATAAAAAAGAAGACTTTATTGTATAGATATAATCGCCTACCACTGTACTAAAAATTTTAGATTAGAATTGTTGATGTGAATCTAAAATCATTTCATTTAGAGCATGCATATTTTTCTAGAGCCTTAACAAATTTAAATTTCGTACAATAGAAACGTGAATTTAAAGAATTATCTAAAGTTCGTGCCATTCTTGCAACATCTACAAATAAGTGCATCGAAAACTATATTAGAAGCCTTCAAGATCTTAACACTGTCAAAGATCTACATGCAAGAGTGGGTTAAAGCTCTAAAAGGAGTTGAGTCTTTGTCACAAACTCTGAATAACTAATCTCTATATCTTTAAACAAAATGTCTTAAACTTTAGATATTTTAAACTAAACTTCTGTTCGATCAAATAAACTAAGTTTTAGATATCAAAGATGTACACCATCAGGTCTCAAAGATTTAAGGATTATAATATTTTTGTTTGAACCAGAGAGACTCAATTTCCTTGTCTACTAATTGTGCATCTAAAATTGTACAGTGTTATAAGTCTGTTAAAATTAAAAATAAATGGAAAAAAATGAGAAATTATCAAAAAGACTTCAAAATATTGGCATATCAGAAAAGTGTCAAAAAAGTTAAAAGCACTGTTTCTTAATGATATACACCTAAGCATAAAATTAATCATTAAGACCTTCAAGAATCAAGATTTCAAGATAAAATCCAAAGCGTCAGAACACTTCAATATATCTTTAGAATCTGATGTTGTAAATATTTGATATATAAACTTAAACTATTTGATCTATAAAAATTCCAAAAGTCTACGGCATCAGACTGAAAAGATAAAGAGATTAGAAAATTATATTTTATGGCACGTGATCCTTCAGAATTTTGAAACCCCTTCAATCACCTTTCTATTTTAGACAAACATTTTGCACAAACAGGAGCAGTGTCAGTATCATCTTCTTTCCGGGTCATTTTCCGGTAGGAAGACAAACTTTTTATAATACCCTTCTGCCTCAATTCATCCAAGTCAGATGATTGGGGTTTATGAGGTTGACTAGTGATGTTATTCATCTCTAAACAAGAATAAAATATATTAGTGCAAACTAAAAAACTGTTAATCTAATTCTACTGTGTGCAGTGTTCTAAGTGTAACCCATTATAGTATAGTGTTATAAGGTTGGGTGGAGGAATTATATCTACTTTAGGTTCATCACATATCTCGGAGATGTCAAGCATGCAGGTTAAACACAGCTTTGGGTCACCTTATCTGTCCATCACAAGCTCCACACATTGGAACCCGCATACCAGGACGCTGCTGGGTTAGCACACCACGTCCTCGTACAGGCGCGGATACATTCTGTCCTGGGCCGGCAGGGGCTGCAGCTGGTTCTTCAGGTGCAGAAGCTGCTGGTGCTGGAACAGCTGATGGCGTTGGCAACTGCTGACTCAAAAAGTTACGAGTAAAGTCTGCGGCATTGTCAGCCATTGCTACTGAGTTTGAGTTCAAGACTGATTTCCATTCTTGTTGGGAACTTCTTGTCTCCTTCTGATGTTGAACTGTCTGCTGCTGTTGTTGTTGTTGAAAAGTTTGCTGTTGTTGTTGAAAAGTCTGATGTTGGTTTTGAATAAGATTGCTTTGAGGAGTTGGATTTCCAGACAGGTTAAATTTATTATTCCCATTTTGCATGCTGTTCAAGTTTTGATCAGGACTCGCATTTTGTCCAGGCATATTGTTGAACTGAACATGATGATTATTGTGCTGGTCAGCATACTGCTGTTTCAGTATAGGAGCAGGGGACTCCAGGTTACGGGTTGGAGTAGAAATATTCCTTGGAGCAGGGATAGGAGTGGGAGTAGGAGATGCGAAGGTTCGTGGCCCAGGACTGCTGTTCCTTGATCCAGGACTGATATACATAGGACAAGCTGTAGGACCTTGGTCCTGCTGGGCAGGAGGCCACTGGAAACTGTTTCCTACTGGAGTTGGGAAATAAACTCTTCAATTTTATTTTAGTCCGACATTGGTGCCTTCATTTTTCAATATATTGAAACTTTAACAAGGAAACAAATAAACACAATGATTTCAAAATAATTAGTTGGTAAGGTTTAGGGCGAACTATTAATTTATTTAATTAAAAAAAAAACATTTTGTATTTTAATATTTTAAATGTGTAAATTTGCGTAAACATGTTTTTAAAATTTACCTTTCTTTGGTTTACATGAAGTAGTTACAATATCATCTGTTCCTTCAACATTAATTCTCCCTTGGGTCTGTACATGTGAACCCTAAATAGATCTATATTGATACTCTCTAATCTAAACTTATAGACTGACACTAGAACTAAGCTTTTCTTTAGTTGACGCATGATCTTAAATGTACAAACTGAATCAGATCAACAAAACATATTTGTCATAACTTACTCACGAGCATTGAGTAATACTAAGGTGCACCTGCAGTGCACAGTGCACACAATAATTTATTATAGTTATTTTCTTTTTCTTTTGTGATATCATTCCACCACGAGTATTTTAACAAGTTTCACAGATTAGACAAGAGAGAGTATTTTCTTTAGATCTGTGTCTTCAGCTCACAAACTCTTAGCGTACATCTTTCCCCAAATAGCAGAGGTATATCATAAAACTACTGCTTAGGATCCGGATCCGTTTGATCCGCAATATTTTGGCTTCCGGGATCCGGATAGGGATCCAAAGGGCAAATATTAATCACAAGCCAAAAAAATTTTGGCTCAAAAACATACATTTCAAATGTTAACAAATGCGAGATTAATGAAAACTTCATAGTCTCTGAATGGTTCATACAATTTTTTTAATGATATTTCATTTAACCAAAAAAAATTGAGAACCTGGATCCGGATCCTTTTTCATATTTTAATCGACGACGTTTAAGCAATCTCTTGTATTTTTAATGTTAATACAGACCAAATAATTTTACTAACATCTAGAAAATCAACTTATTAAGTGAAATTGGTCAGTGCAAATTGAAAAATTGCTGTGTTTGTCTTTCTAGCCCAGATATTTATGTGTCCCACTGTATCTGTGTAATCTTGAACTCCTTAACTACCTGAATATTCCTGGAGTAAACAGGAGAATCTTGAACTCCTATTTATCTGAATATTTCTTGAGTAAACAGGAGAATCTTGAACTCCTTAATTACCTGAATATTCCTGGAGTAAGCAGGAGAATCTTGAAATTCTTAATTGCCTGAATATTCCTGGAGTAAGCAGGAGAATCATGTACTCCTTAATTACCTGAATATTCCTGGAGTAATCAGGAGAATCATGAAATCCTTAATTACCTGAATATTCCTGGAGTAATCAGGAGAATCATGAAATCCTTAATTGCCTGAATATTCCTGGAGTAAGCAGGAGAATCTTGAAATCCTTAATTACCTGAATATTCCTGGAGTAATCAGGAGAATCATGAAATCCTTAATTACCTGAATATTCCTGGAGTAAGCAGGAGAAGGAGATGCATGACGGGGATTCCCTGCAGGAAAATCATGGCGTCTAAATATTTGTATCATACATATCATATTAAATTATCTCCAAACTTCAATCCCATAAATCCATACAAAATACGCAAAGAACCCTATATGTTATGCAAATTTGTATGTTAAACTTTTTAAAATATTTTAATCGTTTTGGATTTTTCAGGTTTATCCAAAAATTATCAATTTAAATAAATGCTCGGTAATATATGATTTACTATATGTAATTATATATGCTTTTTGGGTGTTCCATTAAACATGTACACGAAGGAAAAACTTATAGTTCACCATTGATTCATGAATTAAAGAGAATGTATCAAAATAAGCTTTTCTTTTCGAAAGGTGGCCTTGCCTTTTTATACCTTTAATCGACAAAATTATTAAAAATAAGATTTATAAAAAGCTGTGGTTCTATTTGAATTAATATCTTAATAATTTTAACAAATTTTGAAGTACATAAAATGGTAATCCGAGAGCCGAATTCTGAATACAAGATTAGAAATAAACTCTAAAATATTCTTTCTTAAATTGCTTATTGCTAATCTGGCTTTTCACATTTCAATTACATTCAGTTTAAGTGTGTGACGAGTGTGACATGGCTGGGCAACAACAATTCAATTAACCTTAGGTAGCAGTACAACTTCCTCTTCACTAGAGGTTGGGCTGGTACATTGTACACTGTAGTGTACACAGTGTTAAATACCTGTTAAGTGTGCTGACCGGACTAGGGCACATCCTGGTGGAACCTGGAGAAAGATTTGTTAAGCCACAATTAAAAGTAGTTTGTTAACTTATACATTAAATATACATTAAAATATTTTATTTACACAAAAAAAACTCATGCAATGGTTTAAAAGGGTTTAAAGGTATCTAGCATAATGCATAAAAAGGTTACAGGGATTGGGTTCTCAACTTTCAGAGTCTTTTTATACTTAACTTATTATGTTTCAGCTTGATCTAATTAAATTGAATAATGTCAACAGAAAGCTACTTTTCATTTTCAAATGAAACATACCTTCAGGGGAATCATTTAACTTGGGTGCATGGGCTCTACCCCCAAGGTCCACACTACCTACGTCTAGTTTCGAAGAAAAAACAGAAGAATTAAGAAATTCCTTTCAAATTTAGAAAATGATTTTAGATGTCGTCTTCCATGCGACGTCAAAAAATTTAAAGAAATCCTTCATGAATCAAATTTGAGAAGGTGCAGGACTATTCTATTTTCTACCTCCACGCTCCAAAGCTTTTTGTAGCATCCTGAAGGTTGCGCTCTGAACATTTTTATTGGCAAGACCCTTGTAGTGTGAGGGAGCTGCACTAGGTTCTATATCTACTCCTAGTTCAGAAACAAACTACTAGATGTCGTCAGTCATAGACAAATACTATTTAAAGAGGCTGTAAGCGTAATTGACCTTCCATGCAAAGATGACAGTGCTCGATTTACATCGGTATCCTTTAAAGCTAAATGTCTAATTAAGTATAAATTAAATATGCATGTTTTTGTTTCTTTAAACTGTGTTACTGTTTATTTTCAGATGTGGTTTCTCTGTCTCAGTAAAAGCAAATAGGTTGTCAACCTATTTGAGTAAAAGTGACTTGCGCATTTCTTGCTTATTAAAAACAAAGAATAAATTTAAATAATTTACCACTTTTCGAGTCAGAAAAAACAACGTTATCTTACAATTTTTTGCTTAGATTAAGGTTTTAGGGCTAATGTTGTAAATCGGGCATTTTTATCTTTGCAAAAAGGGATCACTTAAAATTACGCTTACAGTCCCTTTAAATGAGTAGTGCTATGTACACAATTTACACTGCCTGCACTTGAGCAAAAAACACATGAATGGATGTAGATTCAGATAATTGAGTTTAGGCCTCATAAAATAAATCGGCAGAAAAGCAAAGTGAATCCGAAGCAACATGAACGAATTTTTCACGCAGTGTAGTTTGAATTTTTGCTAAAAATAAAAATGATGTTGTTTTAAATGTGTCTATTTGTATTTTGTGGTGATGAAAGTGTTTATTTTGGGGGGGTTTTCATTTGTTTACTTTAGCTTGACCTTTTAATAGGACTCTCCCAGGACTCTGAGGAGGGGAGAAGGAAAGCATCTGAGAGGACTATTTAGATTCCTTGTAGGTGTCCAAATATATTTTGGAAATTAAAAAACTTTTTAAAAACATGTTTTTATCTAAAAAGATAAAAAGTCTAATATCTTGAACATGTGTGATTATTTAATATGATTTTTGATTGCAATTTTTTAAGCTCTTAAAAAGGTGTGTGCAATGCGAATCAAATAATTTAACAATACAAATTTCAATTATGTAATCCCTTTTGCAACCTGAAGATGTTGAAACTAAAACTCTGTTAATTTAAGACTGCTTGACTTAACAAATTTGCATGATCAGATAAAAAGCCTATGACACCAGGTTGCAAAGACATGGGATTAAAAAATTAGAAATTGCGGGGAGTATCATTTCCCTTTTGTCCAGAAATAATCATAAAAACCTATTTCTAATTTTGCAATCTAAACATATCTAACATATCTAACATATCTATTTTATAACATCTCTGTTTGCATGTATACCTGGTTCTGGTTCTGGGCCTTTAATATCCAGCTCATGAACCATTCGTAGGGTTTCACTGTTCAAACCATGGCTGATGGGTTGTTGGGTTAGGTTGGATGCTGGGTTGGTTGGGAAGGATGATTGATTATTCAATTCATGGTCGTCTTCCATTTCGCTAGTAACACATGTTGTTAGTAAATAAGGGATCAAGATCAGGATCAAAATCTGGATCAAGATCAGGACCAAGATCAGGATCAAGATTAGGATCAAGATCAGGCTCAAGATCAGGCTCAAGACCAGGATCAAGATCAGGATCAAGATCTGGATCAAGATCAGGACCAAGATCAGGACCAAGATCAGGATCAAGATCAGGATCAAGATCAGGATCAAGATCAGGATCAAGATCAGGATCAAGATCAGGATCAAGATCAGGATCAAGATCAGGATCAATATCAGGATCAATATCAGGATCAAGATCAGGATCAAGATCAGGATCAAGATCAGGATCAGGATCAGGATCAAGATCAGGATCAAGATCAGACTCAAGATCAGGATCAAGATCAGGATCAAGATCAGACTCAAGATCAGGATCAAGATCAGGATCAAGATCAGGATCAAGATCAGGATCAAGATCAGGATCAAGATCAGGCTCAAGATCAGGATCAAGATCAGTGTAAGTTTTCAGATTATTATTGTCACATTAAATTCCATAATGTTTATTGTTTCTTTAATTATAAATTAAGATGATAATTGGGAATTCAATGAAAATAATTCTGCTTTCATATTTAAATGCAGGCCTAATTTAGTTAATGCCAAATAACTTCAAATGTAAGAAATCTATGTTTATGTCAGTTTCTTATTAAATTTCTCTTTCTAACTATCTTATATTAATAGTTTAAAATGCAAAAATAATCTTCAATAAGTATTGTTAAAGGGGGCTAAAGCAGAATTTACAAATATTTAAAAATGATGACACAGCAAGTTTTGTGCTTTAGAGCGTCTTTGATTTCTCCCGTGTAGGGATAAAAATTGCAGGTAGATAAACCGTTTCATATTTATAACCAGGACAGAATTCAATCCATGATAGTTCAACTATACAGTTAAACAGAAGAGAACTGTAACGAGTTTATTTACCATTTTAGATTTAATTTTGTCCCGAGCTTTTCAATTGAAATAAAAACATTTTGGAAATATCCTAAATATTTTCATAAAATAATATTTAGAACCAGGACGTAGTTTAATCAGGGTACAGAATACAGACTACAGAGTACACAGTTAACCAGGAGAGAACTATTGAGAATATATATTGATATTTATAACCAGGACTTTTAATCCGGGTGCAGTGTACACAATTCAACAAGAGATAAATAGGAAAATATATAATAATAGTATTTAGAACCAGGCGGAGTATAATCAGGGTACACAGTTCAACAGGAGAGAACTAGGAGAATATATAATAATAGTATTTAGAACCAGGACGGAATATAATCAGGGTACACAGTTCAACAGGAGAGAACTAGGAGAATATATAATAGCATTTAGAACCATGGGTTGGAGTATAATCAGGGTACACAGTTCAACAGGAGAGAACTAGGAGAATATATAATAATAGTATTTAGAACCAGGACGGAATATAATCAGAGTACACAGTTCAACAGGAGAGAACTAGGAGAATATATAATAATAGCATTTAGAACCATGGATTGGAGTATAATCAGGGTACACAGTTCAACAGAAGAGAACTAGGAGAATAAATAATAACAGTATTTAGAACCAGGACGGAGTATAATCAGGGCACACAGTTCAACAGGAGAGAACTACGCCACCTTTACGTGTAACCTTGTTTTTATGTATGTTGAATTCTACGAAAAAATGGTTTTAATATTCAATATTTGAAAATTTAGAAAATGATGCTTGCTGAACCAGTTTCAATACTTCAAAACACAACAGTAGAGGAACCTGTTTTCCTAAATATAAACAAAACCACCACCAACAACAACAACAACAATGTCTCCAATCAAACAGATGAAATTGACTCCTTGTTAACACTACCGGGCTTTCTAGGAAATTAAAACATTAAGAACCAGAAGTACACTACAATCGAAATCATGAAGAAAAAACTTTTAAAAATTTCTCGAACTTTTTTATATGTTTGAATTATAGAGGATGGAATTGGTCTTCCGAGCTCCCTGATGCATGTTATCTATGGAGAAGTGGAGGAAGAGGGTATGTTTACCATTTATGCAAAAATAAGAAGAACAAAATTTGTTTTTTAACCAAAAATGATTACTCACCATAAACTAACCCCTCAGTTTATAAAACTTGATTTAACCTTCGACATTTCAATTTTTAACTAGATACTTCTATTTTTTGAAATATCAAAGATCTAAGATATCAGGTTGTAAAGATATACAAATTAGAAAATTAGACTTTGAGACAAGTCATAAATCCTCTGCAATTGATTTATTATACATGGGAGAGAGAATAAACATACGGCGAATGTTTTTTAATGGGAGAGCAGTGCAGAGAGCAGGAGTTAAAAATGTAATTGCTTGTAATCTTGTTTTATGAATTTAAAAACAGGGGTGGATACAGGGGGGGGCGGGGGGACATTCGCCCCCCCTCTGAGATTTCGAATTTTTTGTTCCTATTTTCAGAATAGCTTCATGCTTAAGGGAAATAAACCCTATTGCAAAACAGGAAAAATATCTGTCTTAATAAACTATAATGTGCGAAAAGTTAAAAATCTAGTTTTTTAGTCTTTAGTCATTAATTTTGACTCTTTTTGAGTCTTTTAAGTCGATTTTTTGTTCCTAATTCGGAATTTTTTTTGTTCCTAAAAAATCTCGCCCCCCCCCTCAATTAAATCCTGTATCCGCCCCTGTTCAATAATATCATACTCCAGTTCCTCTATTATCTAGTATTTTGGAAGGGGTTGTCTGAGCAAGTTTTGTCTTCTAATGCTTCTATTTGGCTTAAACACTATAATGTCAATTATTCGAAAAAACACTTTTAATAAAGTAAAGGTTATAATATTCTATTCAAATTTGTCCTGGAGAAAAAAAATAGATTTGATAATAAATCATGATAATAAATATTTACAAAAATTATTTCTGACAGTGGCCACCAATTATTGCCGTATGCGAAAAATGAAAAAGGTCCATAATGGTAGTTAAGAGTGCTGCAACCCCTCTTTTTAGGTTTCTCTCCAGTTAATTCGGAGTTCTGAGTTTAGAAGTTCGGATACAGTATACAGTATACACATTAGATTTTAAAAAGACCCATTAGGAAAAATCTAAGGGGGTTTATATCTATTTTTATGGTCTTTTGGTCCTTAAACAATTTTGGTTAACTGAAGTTAAAAGAGAGATTTTCGAATACTTAAAATAGTTTTACAACATAGGGAATGATCGGACGAAAAAAAGTTACCTTAAAGACCCCTTCCAAAATTGAAGACTATATATTTTAAAGGGTCCCCTATATGTATGATATGAATTTACTTCTATCTAATTGTAGAATATGGGACTGCTAGGAGCGGATGCAATGATGCCTTCTCAGTTTTTGGATTCCTTGCTTTCTTACTTGCTCTGGTAGATCTTATCATGAGACTTCAGGTAAACTTAGCTTTCTTACTTGCTCTGGTAGATCTTATCATGAGACTTTAGGTAAACTTAGCTTTCTTACTTGCTCTGGTAGATCTTATCATGAGACTTCAGGTAAACTTAGCTTTCTTACTTGCTCTGGTAGATCTTATCATGAGACTTCTTGTAAACTTAGGAATATTCTGATTTTCATCTTACATGATTATAGGAAGAAAACTGAGCACATGGTAGTGTTATGGTGGTAAAGTATTGGTTTAATATTACTTATCAAGTCTGGTAAGGTATACATGGATTGGTATTTAGGCCAGTAACGGATTGATGTTGTAGTATTAAGGTTGGTAACAGATTAATGGTTTACTATTTAGGCCAGTAACAGATAAATGGTTTAGTTTTTGGCTTGTAACAAATTATTGTTTAAGTATGAAGGCTGGTAACTGACTATAGGTTTAGTATTAAGGCTTGTAACGGATTACTGGTTTGTTATTGAGGCTGGTAACGGATTAATGGTTTAGTGTTAAGGCTGGCTACCTATCAATGGTTTAGAATTAAGGCTGGTATGGATTAATGGTGTGTTGTTAAGGCTGGTAATGAATTAATTATGTGTTATTAAGGCTGGTAATGGATTAATGATTTCTTATTAATGCTGATAATTGATTAAGGGTTTGTTGTTAAGGCTGGTAATGAATTAATGATGTGTTATTAAGGCTGGTAATGGATTAATGATTTGTCATTAAGGCTGGTAATGGATTAATGGTTTGTTGTTAAGGCTGGTAATGGATTAATGATGTGTTATTAAGACTTGTAATGGATTAATGGTTTGTTATTAAGGCTTGTAATGGATTAATGGTTTGTTATTAAAGCTGGTAATGGATTAATGATTTGTTATTAAGGCTTGTAATGGATTAATGGTTTGTTATTAAGGCTGGTAATGGATTAATGGTTTGTTATTAAGGCTGGTAATGGATAAATGGTTTGTTATTAAGGCTGGTAATGGATTAATGGTTTGTTATTAAGGCTGATAATGGATTAATGGTTTGTTATTAAGGCTGGTAATGGATCAATGATGTGTTATTAAGGCTGGTAATGGATTAATGGTTTGTTATTAAGGCTGATAATGGATTAATGGTTTGTTATTAAGGCTGGTAATGGATTAATGGTTCGTTGTTAAGGCTGGTAACAAACGACGTAAAAGAGAAGATTCCTCAACATGTACCGTCAGGGTCTCCAGTCAAGATAATCCACAGCTAAAGGTAAATAATCCATAAAAGAACGAAGTTTTGAAAACCTTTTCAATTTAAATACATGTAATTCTAGTTGTTTTCTTCTGCCAGCAAAAGAAATAAATTGAAAATTTGTTACTTGGAACTAAAAGCGTTATGATTATCATAGTTTGAAATATAAATCTATTTTAAATGGGCTGTTAACTGTATCTTTGGTGACCCACTGTTTGTACAGTGTCATGTTCTATTCACAACGGTACCATTTAAACATCTACCTGGGTAAGAAAGATATCATCGTTTTTCCATTTAAAATAGTGTATTTTTTTAATTGTCTTTCATTGTCTCTGAAGCATAAATTTGCAACTGCAAGTCAATTTCAAAGAAAACCGCAATTGAGAATAATCAATTTTTAGCTAGAAAAATAAGGAAATCTCATTCATTCTGAAACAGACAAATAGTTTTAAAGGTATCATGGTCACATATCATTTTGTCTCCACTCTACATGTCATTTAAGGAAGGAACCCTGGCAGCCTACTCTATGTTTCGTGGATTTCTGAATTCAATGGAAAATGAAGAAGAAAATAAATCTAGCTGCGCCAAGCTGTCTATGTGTGAAGCTGCCAGGTAAATATACCTATCTATGCCAAGCTGTCTATGTGTGAAGCTGCCAGGTAAATATACCTATCTACGCCAAGCTGTCTATGTGTGAAGCTGCCAGGTAAATATACCTATCTATGCCAAGCTGTCTATGTGTGAAGCTGCCAGGTAAATATACCTATCTATGCCAAGCTGTCTATGTGTGAAGCTGCCAGGTAAATATACCTATCTATGCCAAGCTGTCTATGTGTGAAGCTGCCAGGTAAATATACCTATCTATGCCAAGCTGGCTATGTGTGAAGCTGCCAGGTAAATATACCTATCTATGCCAAGCTGGCTATTTGTCAAGCTGCAAGGTAAATACACCTACATTAAATAACCACTTCATAATTAATTAAGATTTTCATGTGCAAAAGTTCCAGAATCGTTTCAAAACTAACATATGTGTTCATTTTTTTTTAAATGAGATTATTTGTTTTCAAACAGATCATTTGTCTGAATAATTTTTTTCAAAGTTCAGTTTCTAGGGTCATTTTCGGAATTTAATAATAGAAAATATATTTATATCAATGCAAGAGGAAGAAATTGAAAACGGTTCTGAACAAACCATATTTTGGGGCACGTTGGTTGATTACTCAAATAATTTAAGAGAAGCTGCAAACCTGGGTGAAATAGGTGAAGTAATTGCAAGAGTTGGAAGTATGAACGCTGTTGGTTGGCTCAGGTAAACCTCAGGAAATAATTTACAGGGTGAATCTTATTTCATTGGAATATTATTGAACCCTGAATAGTTTTTTTTGAGTAATTAAGCAGAAAAGAAAAGAAAGAGCAAATTCTAAACATGGGTTTCACTTAAAATGTTAATCTGATTATTTTTGTGTATTTGCTAAACACTAGAGTATATTGTCTGTTCCAGAATCCACCATTTTTGTGGCTTTGCAAATCTACGCTAAATCTGGGTTTGAAAGTGATTGTCTTCTGATACTTGAACCGGACTTTAAGATTAGGAGCCAGTTTTAACTGAGATACATCTTAACTGTAAATGCAATGTTAAGCTTTTCTGAATTATCGGAATTAAACATTTTTAAACATGAAAACTGTCAGTATCTTCCCCCCTATTGATCAGATAAAGGTTTCAAGGGTACCGTTGTGAATCGGGATTGCCATCTTTGAATGGAGGGCCCCTTGAAATTACGGTAACAGTCCCTTTAGAAATAATAATCAAATATTTATGATTTATCTTTAATTGTTATACGTCAACTTTTCCAGGAATATGGATCAAAAGATCGCTAAAGGGATCAAGCAAGCTGGGCATCTTGGATCCAGAAAAGGGGATTGCTCCGCTCTGTACAAATGCTCTTCAAGACCTAACCATTACCGACATCCGGGTCATTCCTTTCAGAACCTAACCAGGGGTTCACAAACATTTTCTAAACTTGCTCATCACATCAATTCAAACAATTTGGACTGGGAGTCTATATTTTAGGAACATGTGTGTTTTTGCCGCAAATAAAAACCAAGATAAAAAATGTTTACTGTTTATATTAGTCACATACATAACTGCCAAAAATAAGCAGAGCTATGTTTATACTTCAAGTTTAGTGTTGAGAGAGAATGTTAGACATAATATATAATTCAAATTATATTGCAAGAAAATCTGAAAACTTACACAAATATTTAGTGAGAGAGAAACTGTACAGAAAACACATGTTCTGTGTGATCAAGATAGATTTCATGTAGTCGATCAATGAAACCCCAGTGGTTAGTATTGAATTATAAAGGGGTCAATCGGGTTGGGGAAGTTTGGGGGAAATGGGGATAAAAAGGGATTACATAACGCAATAATTACTATAATTTCTGTTCTCTTGATGTGAACTCATATTCGCGACACCGCCATTTTTTTGCCCGGCTTCTTGTTCACATTCTCGTAGATACTTGAGAACAGCAGATTCATGGGGGAGTTTAGGCTCACTCTTTTTGTATTGATTGAAATCAATTCTGAAGCAAAATTATTCGTAAAATCTTTTCTATAAAGTCTTAGTCAAGTTCGTGAAAAATTACTTACCCTTTCACTCCGTTGGAAAGGACTTCAGCCTGCTGATTGAGGACTTCTTGTATATTATCCTGAAACAGAAGTCTTGTATATTATCCTAAAGCGGAAGTCTTGTATATTATCCTGAAACGGAAGTCTTGTATATTATTCTGAAACGGAAGTCTTGTATATTATCCTGAAACGGAAGTCTTGTATATTATCCTAAAACGGAAGTCTTGTATATTGTTCTGAAACGGAAGTCTTGTATATTATCCTGAAACGGAAGTCTTGTATATTATCCTGAAACGGAAGTCTTGTATATTATCCTGAAACGGAAGTCTTGTATATTATCCTGAAACGGAAGTCTTGTATATTATTCTGAAACGGAAGTCTTGTATATTATCCTGAAACGGAAGTCTTGTACTTTATCCTGAAACAGAAGTCTTGTATATTATCCTGAAACGGAAGTATTGTATATTATCCTGAAACGGAAGTCTTGTATATTATTCTGAAACGGAAGTCTTGCATATTATCCTGAAACGGAAGTCTTTTATATTATCCTAAAATGGAAGTATTGTATATTATCCTAAAACGGAAGTCTTGTATATTATCCTCAACCGAAAGTCTTGTAAATTATCCTAAACGGAAGTCTTGTATATTATCCTAAAACGGAAATCTGAGATATACATGGTATTTCAGACATTTGCTCTTTTGACATTTGCTATAACGTACCATTTGCTCTTATAAGAACGGAATTTTAAACAACATAAAAAGTTTGATATGTCTTAAATTAATCCGAAAGAAGTTTTCCACAAGACTGCATACTTAGTTCAACTACCTTACATAGCCGGCCACTCCATTTAAACAACCTAGCTTTTATAGGGTGGCGCGGCCAATTTACAACAATACCCTTTAAGATTTGCATGATCAAAGGCAACCTATTTTTTATTAAGAAAATACAGTCCCTTTAAGTAAAACTAACCTCAGAGTAGAGTGCTTGAGGAGAATTATACTGGCGATTCATCAGATTCTTCGGCTAAAAAAGGAAAACATTTAAACACTGACTTTTTCAAAGTCAGATAAAGAGTAGCCTTTTCCATGCAGAGTAAAAGATTTCAACGCTCAAGTTTGATATAAAATACTTTAATGGTTCTAAAGGAGCTGAACACTGGCCATACACTCGAATTTTATTATCCATTTATCTTTGTAACCTCGTGGTGTAAACCTTTGATATTTCAAGCACAGACTATTTGAAGTAACAAAATGCCTAGTATGAAATACCAAAAGTTTACTAAATTAGGTTGGAAAGAAGTATAAGAAAATTTTAATTGGCATGAGGAGTATTCAGTTCCTTTTTAAATGGTAACCAGACAATTTTTTTCATTAGACAAAATGTGAAGATTTATTGATTTATTTGAAAATAATTTTTTTGTTCCACAATACAGCGTAACCACAAGGATGAGAATACCCAGACAAACTATTTTTTTGTTGTTGTAACTCTTAAATTATATAGTGCTATGATCCATTCGTTACTTTCTTATTATGTATTTTTTATTTTATTCCATTTCAACAAAAAATGTTTCATCAACGGGACTGAGTATTTGCCACAAACTAAAATTTTCTTAATCTCTGCAGACGGGATGGTGGCAATTGTGGCAAAAACTGAATTTCTTTGAATTGCATCTGGATATTTTTTCTCTGGTATTAAGGACGGACCCATCACCAATCCTAAAGATCCATTATGATTTAACTGCATGCAGGATGCATATTCTAGAATGAACATGCCTATACCTCATGATATTTTCCCCCACGTGAACGCATTTCCGTTTCCTGTCTAAGGTAGAAGGTTAGGAAGCTGAAGGATGTTGGAGGAAGGGAAGAAGACGAACAAATATTGAACTTTGAATTAGTTATTCAAAAAAGGATTGATATTTTTAACGAAAAAAAGTAATAATGAAGTACATATTATTTTGTTTTGATATATTTCCTTGTTTTTAGAAGGTATAAAGGATATAAATTGTCCCGTTGACTCCAGGATAACAGGAAACATAGGAGTGGGAGGTAGGTTGGAGAAACTGGAAAATTTATTCGGCTTCAAGATGTTCCAGTACCTAATGCACGAGGTTTTGATACTTTGATTGATTATTTTATAGATAACAGACTTTATATAGGTTTAACTAAAAAATACCTCCTCTACCAAAATAAAAATTATTAAATTGATAAATATGTTTTTTTTAGTGTTTTTAGGTTGTAGATGTTTCGGCATTAATTGAAGATTTTTATCCTTTCAAGGAATTATCATATATGAATATAGAACTCTACATCATGGAATTGATACACCAAGATCATCATGAGTTTACCTAGATTCATCAGCATAGGATTTAGGAAGGGTCAGCCTAGGATGAGATGATGGGCAAGGAAGAAGCTTTGAGGGAAACAAGGATTTCCCACTCTTTTTGAAATCTCCCTTCTGAGGTACATTTTTTGTTTTTGAAATCTTTGGCGGATTTTTAGGTATCCTGTCGAAGGAGAAAATTGGATGTAGATATGGTTAAGCAAAGTTGGGATTGTGAGTAGGATTTATTGGTTCAGGAATGGCGGGTTCTTGATCAGGGTTCAATTGTTTAGGAGAGGCGGGTTCTTGATCAGGGTTCAACTGTTTAGGATAAGTGGGTTTGTGGGAAGGGTTCAATGGTTCTGGATAAGCAGGTTCATGAGCAGGGTTCAACTGTTTAGGAGAGGTGGATTCGTGATTAGGGTTTAAGGGTTCAAGAACTCTTCGAACTGGATTTATGAACCTTGAGCTTAACTTTAAGGAAAAGATTATTCTCAGATTGATTTTTTGACAAATTTCTAATGAGAAATGTGTTCTTAAACATCTAAAACCAATTCTCAAAATCATCCTTCCAAATTGGAAAATCAATAATGATTTAAATATCGAACTTGCGCTCTTATTGAACAAATATACACCGTTAAAACGTCTAAATCCTAAAAAAACTCTCAATAATACTGCAATCGCAGCTCAACTATCATAATTCATGCCTGTCACTCAATTTAACGAAAAATAACTTTAAAACTTTAAAAACTTAAGGAAATATTAAAAATCTAAGCAATAAAGCAATAACAGTTTAAGATCAATTTTGATTAACATTTTACACGCTGCAGTTTTTTAACAAAAAGTTTAAATTTTATTTATTTTAATCTTCTAGCACACCTTTGGCTCCACTTGGGCAGGATTTTTTTGTTTCTTGCCTATCTTTAAAATCATTTTCATTCAATTTTTTAATATCTATTTATTACCAATAATTAATTTTTGAATTCCTCCCCCCACCCCCCCACCCCCCCAAAAAAAACTGAAAAAAATTGAATAAACCTTGTTTACAATAACAGATTCTGGAGATTTTTTAAGTTCAGACTTGAGGAAATGTGACCTGGAGGGAAGGATCTGTTGGGTTTAAACGCAATAAGAAGGAATTTCGATTGTGAAATAGAACAGGATGGATATAAGCAATATTGGGTAGCAGAAAATTATGGACAATGATTTATATAAAAAATGATAAAATATTGGACGTTTGAGAAAGATTGCTACAGTTAGTTTTTTGAGTAATCGAACAGGACGGATAAAGAGGATTTTTGTGTACGAAAAAATGGATGTAAATTATTTTTAATAAAAGAAAAGGATGGAAATTAATTTTTTTTGATAAAGAATAAATATTAATGAATTTTGAACATTTAAAGGATGTATGTACATTGTACATGATTTGTTAGGTAATTAAAAGGAGGGATATAGATAAATTTGGGCAAGAAAAAGAGAAGGATTTTCAGCTATAAAATATTTAAATATTTTTGTTTCCGAGATCTTTGCCTAGGAAACTCTGGGATAGATGAAACAGGAGCTGAATGATCCTGTCCAGGTTTAAATATCAACGGTTCATTATCAACATTTCCGTTCTTTAAATCATATTCATTTTTATCATGGCACAGGCTTCAAAAGTTTGTAAACAACAACAAAAGTTCGTGGATTAAAAGAATAGCCCTGAATTTAAAAACAATATATAACAAAAATATAAGACAATATTAAAATCATATTTGGGAAGAGTAATTTATAACTACATGTAGTAGGGCTCATGATAGAAAGACGACATTTCAGTAATCTTATGTCTGTTTGATGTTATTATAAACCAACTCATTTTATCAGTAGCCTAAAAATCAAATTATCACAATTGCTTTCTATTCATGTTTTTTCCCTTACAAATTTAAATCATAACTTTAGTGTAACGTTCGTTTTACAGTTTTTTTGTTCCATTATGTTAGAAACATGAACAATGAAAAGATATAAAAATAATAAGCTAAAAAGCTATAAAACTGCTGACTTTAAATCAAAAATGCAATTTAATACTTGTATCACTCTTAAATCATGATTTTTTCCAATCGGAATAATTTATTGGAAAAGTATGTCAATAGTAATATTTAGTGCCAGGTTGGGTTGGACAGATGAATAGAGTAATATTTTGTGCCAGGTTGGGTTGGACAGATGAATAGAGTAATATTTTGTGCCAGGTTGGGTTGGACAGATGAATATGGAATTTTCCTTGTCGTTAATAATTTCTATATAAGTACCACAAGATGAGGAGGAGAGGAGAGGAGCAAATGATGCGGGGTGGAGAGGAGAGGATGATGAAAGAGGAGGAGGGGTAGGAGATAGTAAAGGAGAGAGAGAGGAAAACTGTTTGCGAGGCTTAGGAATGGGGTTATATCTCTAAAATTAAATGGGATAAATAAGGACATTGTGAACATTATAAAACTAGACTTACGATTTGAACTGGTGTCTGAGTCCTGGATTTGTTTTGAAGTGTACTATGCTGCACACCAGTGTACTGAGTACCACCGTTAGGTACGGTTTGATGTACTGGAGTACTAGAGAGCTCTCGCCTGCCATAAATTGATTTTCAACATTTTTAACAATTTTGAATTTAATAAATTTTTGAAAAAAGTTTTATTTAATTTTAAGAAAAAAAACCTTAGCAAACTGTTTTTTATCTTCAAATTCAATTATTAAGATTAAATCATTCCTGAAATTTCCGTTTTGTTTTCCAGGAGAGGGTAAAACAGAAGGAATATCTCCTTTCAGCTGAGCCATAAACTGTCTGAAATATAATTTATCTTGATTTCAGTCCAGCAACACATTTCTCGTTCAGAGAAAAGAAAGTTCACGAATCCAGATAATACGGTGAAAATATGTTAAAAACGGGAATGAATTCGATTCTAACTTTTTAAATGTTTTTAGACCACGGTTGCATAACCTTTTCTTAGAAACTAACATTTTTTAAAAGGTCTGTTCTTCGAGTATTTTTAACAATTCCGGATAATAATTATATTTGGCACTTTTCTAGTGAGAGTGTCTTGTTACCTTGCGCATTCTCTTGAGCTACCATATGTATATAAGGAACCGTCAGCACACCATTGAGACTGGTTTTATCAAGTTAAACCATTTCCAATCAATTCATTATTATTATTTACCTGGTGAAATCTTCTGCATTATCAGCTGATCCTGCCGCGTCAGCTTCCAAACTAGATTTCCACTCTCGACCCTCAGGGTTCGGACGTGGGATTGAGCTCTGGGGAGCAACTGGAGCTGGTTTAAGTGCCTGGCTCAATACTCCACCTCTACAGGAAGAAAAAACCATTAAAGGGACTGTAGTCGTAATTTATAGTGCGCTCTGTAACTATCGTAGTAGCATTTTGGAATGATTTGCCCATCATTATATTAAAGATTTTAATTAAGAAGCAAGATTTATCAAAATTATAGATATTTTTTGCCTTTAAATAAATTATTAACAATTGTTTGGTTAAACTATAGCAATCTTTCAATCCTTATCAGAAAAAATTAGATTTTTATGAAATCCACGCATTGCATTTTTTAACAAGTTTTTCGGACACAGGTATTTTAAAATCATCTTTACATTTGTAAACATGGTATGTTGCAGAAAACTATGAAAGCTTAAACCTTAAAAAAATTTAAACTTAAATAATTCTGTCTACCAGAATTCTAAGTTTGAAATAACAAAATTCTTCTACATCAGGTTGTAAAGATATAGGGATTAAAAAAATCAGAGATTATTGCAAAAAATCTATTTCTTTCTGTACGGCAGATGTTCTATTTATAAAAAAATGTAGCATACATCTGAGAGCAAAAAATTTAACAACATAACTGTTCTTTGCCTAGTTACGTCATATTGTAAACAAGATCCCAGATTTCAAACTGTAAATCATTTCAATGCAAGCTTTCATTACTTATTCAGAATACTTTCAATTTTTATTTCAAAATAACATGCTTTACTTAAAGGGACTGAAATGGGGTTTTCCAATTAGAAAGATATCGTCATAATTTTATCTAAAAATGTTAAAATCTGATTCTTTTCTTTTCTCTATTTATCTAAAGCATAAATGCGCGAGTCAAAATTATAGAAAAACCACAATTTAAAATATATAGTTTTTAGCTGAACAAATACGGTTATCACATTCATCATTGCTCAGACTCTAAAATCTTATTAAGTACGACACTATACCTGTTAACCGTAAGATTAAAGTTATTTCCAGCTCTAACTATTTTCTCTTGAACCTCCTTGTGTCTTAGATTTTCAACATTCTCTCCGTTCACCTTAACAATATTTTGGTTACTTTCTATACAATTATTATTCCAGGAGGTCATGTCAGGTCCCATCAATTCATTTGACGTTTATTAGACTCGAACAAAAATCAAAATATCAGGCAAATATGTAAAAATAAAGAAACTGATTATTCGGCTTAAATTGCAACTAATTTCAGCCGATGAAAAACAGAATAAATTCAAAATATTTTTCCCACGATATTTCTGGTTGCCTAGTTTTTAATTTTGTATTAAATAACAACAAAATAATCAAGTAAATTTGTAATTGTAAAATTATTTTTATATAAATCTAATTGATTTGACAAATATTTTCATATAACATTCAAAAAGGTAGAATAATTTTAATAATTAAAAAAATTATATTGAAGAAAAGAACCTTGACAACGATATCTCCAGGTTGTAGGCCGGCAGATTCAGATAATGAACTGATATTAACCTGAAATATAAAAAGATTGTATAAAAAATATTCTCATCAGCAAAACAGTTCTGGTTCTGCATTTTTAATAAAAAAGTTTAAATTACTGTGCTCTGCATGTTTCATTATGAAACAATTATAATGATGTTTCTGTCAAAAAGAGTACCAGTAGATATAAACGATGCTATAGCACAATGCAAATTATCAGAAAGTGTAAAATTCAAATTTTCAAAAAATCCAGCCAAGTCATGCAAAAGATATATATATATATATATATATATATATATATATATACAAAGATCTTTATATTTAAGTTATGAATTGAAATAATGAGGATTCCTTTTGATTTAAACTATAAACTTATGTTTCCCAAAAAATAAATTCAATCTTTCCTCTGAAATGGCTTATCTTTTAAACATTTTTTTAAACAATAAAAATGATGCATCATAACATACTCTTAAAGTTCAAAGGGCGCCATGACTGAAAATTTGCACTATTTAACGAGAAACTTACAAAAAAATGTTGTAACGATCAGGTAATGACAGTTAATATTGCTAAGCTAATATGTGCCATGGAAGGGGAAAATGTTGTGGCTTAAAGCCGCCTGCCTTCCCCCACTCGTGTTGCAGAATATAACTTGCCGAGTGAAGAGTGATGAGCGCAGAAGTGTAAAGGGATAAAGTAAAGAGTGTAAAATAAAGAGTGAAAACTTTGCATTGTTGAATGCACATATGGTTTCGAGTGACAAGTGCTGAGTGTAAAGTGTCGAGGGAAAACTGAGGAGTTTGAGTGTAGAGGGAAGATCGAGTGTGGACTGTAAGGGTAGAGTGTAGAGTGTAGAGTGTAGAGTGATGAGTGTAGAGTGTAGAGTGTACAGTGTAGAGTGTAGAGTGTAGAGTGTAGAGTGTAGAGTGTAGTACAATAATAATAATAATTATAATAATAATAATAATAATTTCTAGGGAATGAACTTATTTTGTGGTATTTTGGAAATACTGTTGGGTTTGCGGTTTATTAAAATCGTAATTTATTCTCGTAAAAATCGAAAGACTTAAGAAACAGAAAGAAGAAAAGACAATAAAATAGAAATAAAACGACAAGAGTCTAAAATGAAATTGAGATATAAAAGATTTAAAAACTTGCGGATAATAAAAGTGGTTAAATGCAATAAACCCCTGAATTAGGAAGGAAGAGGAATGATATTGAAACCGAAAAAGTGACAAACAAACGAACATTAGTATAAGTATATCAAAGATTGAAGAAGGATATGAAGATTTTGTGTTAATTTCCGTTTAGACAGATAGATCGATAGAAAGAACATTATATCATTTGATTAATCCTTCATGCATGGCGTAAAGATACAATATGTGCAGTGTACGCATTTTGACATTGACAAAATACTCGTAATCTACCCAAATCTGCGTAAAATATAGATAAAACATTGCGACACAGTGTGTTCCGGAAAATATATAGTAACTTCGTGAGGAAGTGTGTCCAAAAATAAGTATATTATATTTTGTCAAAATGTGGTCCTAAAACATGAATAAAACATTGTACCGATGTGTTTCATTGCAAAGTGAATAAACAATTAATATTTGATCACTTTGGTGTCATTGAGCCTTGTATAAAAAATTCTAACGAAGTGTGTCCCAACACAATGGTAAAACATTGAAACGAAGTTTTTCCCTAAACAAGGATAAAACATTCTGCCGAAGTGTGTCCCAAAACAAGAATAAAACATTGTAACGATGTGTGTCCGTAAACAAGGATAAACATTGTAACAAAGTGTGTCCCCACTCCCTAAACAAGAATAAGACAATGTAACGAAGTGTGTCCCTAACTAAGGATAAAACATTGAAAAGAAGTGTGTCCCTAAACAAGGATAAAACATTGAAAAGAAGTGTGTCCCTGAACAAGGATAAAACATTGAAAAGAAGTGTGTCCCAAACCAAGGATAAAACATTGAAACGAAGTGTGTCCCTAACTAAGGATAAAACATTGAAACAAAGTGTGTCCCAAACCAAGGATAAAACATTGAAACGAAGTGTGTCCCTAACTAAGGATAAAACATTGAAACAAAGTGTGTCCCTAAACAAGGATAAAACATTGAAACGAAGTGTGTCCCTAACTAAGGATAAAACATTGAAACAAAGTGTGTCCCTAAACAAGGATAAAACATTGAAACGAAGTGTGTCCCTAAACAAGGATAAAACATTGTAACGAAGTGTGTCCCAAACCAAGGATAAAATATTGTAACGAAGTGTGTCCCTAACCAAGGATAAAACATTGTAACAAAATGTGTTCCAAAACAAGGATACAAAATTGTAACGAAGTGTGTCCCTAAACAAGGATAAAACATTGTAACGAAGTGTGTCCCTAACAAGGATAAAACATTGTAACGAAGTGTGTCCCTAAACAAGGAAAAAGCATTGAAGCGAAGTGTGTCCCCAACCAAGGATAAAACATTGTAACAAAATGTGTTCCAAAACAAGGATAAAACATTGTAACAAAATGTGTTCCAAAACAAGGATACAAAATTGTAACGAAGTGTGTCCCTAACCAAGGATAAAACATTGTAACAAAATGTGTTCCCAAACAAGGATACAAAATTGTAACGAAGTGTGTCCCTAAACAAGGATAAAACATTGTAACGAAGTGTGTCCGTAAACAAGGATAAAACATTGTAACGAAGTGTGTCCGTAAACAAGAATAAACATTGTAAAGAAGTGTGTCCGTAAACAAGAATAAACATTGTAACGAAGTGTGTCCCTAAGTAATGATACAACATTTTAACGAAGTGTGTCCCTCAACAAGGAAAACATTTTGATAAATTGTGTCTCAAAACCAGGACAAAACATTTTTGCTAAGTGTGTCCCAAAACAAGGATAAACATTTTGACAAATTGTGTCTCAAAACCAGGATAAAATATTTTAACGAAATGTGTCCCAAACCATGGATAAAATATCGTAACGAAATGTGTCCCAAAACAAGGATAAAACATCTTAACGAAGTGTGTCCCTCAACAAGGATAAACATTCTGACAAATTGTGTCTCAAAACATGGATAAAACATTGTAACGAAGTGTGTCCCAAACCAAGGATAAAACATTGTAACGAAGTGTGTCCCTAAACAAGGATAAAACATTNAGAATGAATTGTATCTAGATGAAGGGTGTATCCTGGATGAATTGAATGAATTGTATCTAGAACGAAGTGTGTCCCAAACCAAGGATAAAACATTGTAACGAAGTGTGTCACTAAACAAGGATAAAACATTGTAACGAAGTGTGTCCCTAAACAAGGATAAAACGTTTTAACGAAGTGTGTCCCTAAACAAGGATAAAACGTTTTAACGAAGTGTGTCCCTCGACAAGGATAATCATTTTGACAAATTGTGTCTCAAAACAATATTAAAATAACCTACGGCTATTTAAATTAATGAATTTAACTCAACCATTTTCATCTCAATTATTTTATATTTTAGATCAATGTTTTCGCAAAAACAAATGCTACGTAAATGTTTAAATAAGGTCGGGTAAAAATAATCCATCCACTATAATTAACATGGAGACACAAGGATCTAGGACAAACTTTTTATCAACTTTTTATTTCAGGAATTCCAGGAAAGGAAACAAGACTTTTTATATTCCAAGAAACTTATAAAGCAAAAGTTCAGTTCCCTACACGATGTTTTCTATGTTATCTAAATATAATGTTCGAATCTAATCTATATTTATGTATAAAGTTGTGTGACGTAATAATAAGAACTGACGGCTGGTTGTAACGTAGTTCACTCTGATTTAAAGGCATAGAGAATAGAATATATATTAGAGGGGAATTTAATGAATCTCTCGATATGAGTTTTTTCAGTCCCTTTCAGTCTGAAAGGGAGTTCAAAGTGTACAAATCATGTAAATGTTCACAAATTATATGCAGTAGAGTACATTAATACGTATGTTCCCTAGACTATTCATTTCAATTTCGAATTTTTTAAAGCTGTTAAATAAACTTTATAATGAATTAGGTGAATAAAAAACATCATTTAATTTATAGTTATAACGGAAAATCATCGTTTGTAAAGTGAAAGGCATAGAGTCTATGTGAAATGATCATTGGTCAATTATGAAACCAGCCTATTTCATAATTTGGTTTTCTTTTAACATTAATTTTAGATTTTCTATAAAATAATATTCCAGGGCCCAACAGGTTATATAGCATAAATATGCGAAGTACACCTGCAGTATGGAAACAGTACAACAAAATGGCCGTTTTGCACTTTTTTCTAGTAAATTCCACTCTAATATATATTCTATTCTCTTTGTTTAAAGGTCTCAAGCTCTCAATTGTCAATTACTTCTTAAAAACCAAAAGCTAACAACAAGTGCTTTATAGTGCCAAAATGTACATGTAAAGTGCTACAGAAATACATGAGTGCCTTATAGCTGTAAAATCAAAGCCCAAGGCGTTGCGACACTTTAAACTCGACTCTGGCTTAAAAATCTATGAGCCTTTTTATAAGCAGGTTGAATCTATGTGGGTTGTAAATTTAAAATATAAGTACGATGTACAATGTACATATATTAACATTTAAAACTTTATTTCCTGAATACTAAAATTAAATAAATGTTCACAGATGTTTTTAACTGCTTCATTTGGCTTTAAAATTATGCAAATACGGGGTTAGAGAGTGGAAAATTTTAATTTTTTTGATTAAAATGGATGAAGATACAGGATATATTTAGAATGAATGTAGGATACAGGATTTATCTAGATTGGCCTAGGATACAGGATCTATGTAGAATGGATGAGGATACAGGATTTATGGATGTTAAATGAGCATACAGGATTTTAATGGCATGAATAAGGATACAAAACTTATGTAGAATGGATGAGGATACAGGATATTTGTAACATGAATAAGGATACTTAAAAGCTATGTAGAATGGATGAGGATACAGAATCTACTTAGAATGGAGGAATATAATGAATTGTATCCAGATGAAGGGTGCATCCATGGGATGA